CATCGACGAAGATTGTCTGGTATCGCAGCCGTCCTTATCGCACCTACTGAATCAGCAGCCTGGCGCCACTTCGCCAATGCTCGCCGTATCTTCAGCGATTAACAGCGAACCTGAATACAGCTTCTGCAGCTTCGGGAAGCGGCAGACGTGGCGGTTCGAAGCATGTTTCCCCGACGAGGCAACGGAGGAAGCGGGTGAAGCGGCGGTTGCAAACAATAATGGCCCATTTTTATTCGACGTTGATCATGATGACGAAGATGATTGCGACGATGCAGCGGAAAGCGGCGCGGATTGCCAATCGTGGCGGCTAGAGGTCGATCTGACTCTTCAGTGCACAAGGGGCCGCCTCTGGGGATGCTCAGACGTGATTGGTTCAGTCGATTTCAATGAGTCGGGTAACTATTTCGCCACTGGTGGCATCTCGCGGAAGATTCGCGTATATTCGCTTTCGTCGCTCCGCTCGCTCCAGGAGCGGAAGCTGGAGGGATGGCGGGAAAGATGGGGGCGACGGAGCTGTGAAATCGGATCAGGAATGGCGGATTCGGCGGGCGACGCGGAATTTTGTAACTATGGATTATCTTACGCGGGCCCTCGGCGAGGAAAGCGACGCGCTGCGTCGACAAACGATCTGCGACGGTTCGCCGAAGCTTCGGACAGAGACGATGCGGAAGAGGAGGATGCTCGCATACTCGACACGGACCAATCCGCATCCAAGATTCTCTGCTGCGCTGCGAAATTAAGTTCCGTCATGTGGGTCCCCGGATCTAGCAACATTATAGGCGCGGGTGACTATGACGGGGTTTTTGCGGAATGGGACATCGAAAAGGGCCTCTGTGTTACAGAGAGGGAGGAGCACGAGGGGCAGCGCATCTGGTCCGTAGATTACTCCCAATGGATGGGATCCAACGGCAAGCCGATGTCCGTTACGGCATCGAACAACGGAGCGGTATGTCTCTGGTCGGCAGACTCGGAAGACAGTGTGGGGAAGATCTGGTTGGCTTCCGGCAAGCGTGCGATCTGCAGTGCGAAATTAGGTCCCGCAAAGGGCGGCGAGAATCTTCTCGCATTGGCCGGAGCCGATTCGAAAGTGTATTTGTACGACCTTCGGAATCTCCAGGAGCCGCTTCTGTCGCTCGCAGGGCACCAACGCACCGTGAGCTACGTGCGATTCATGGGCCCAGGCTCCCTGGTTTCCTCATCCGTCGATTCTACCGTCAAGCTGTGGGACGTCACGGGTTCGAATCCCAGCAACGGCGTTTCTGCGTCGACCGGCTCCCCCAGCCAGATACCTAATGCTGCTACTGGAAATGCAACCAGAGACCGTTCTAGTCTTCCAGCCGCAGGAGTCTCTAATCACCTGCGTGCGAGCTGCGACGACCATCTTAACGTGCGGAACTTCGTCGGGTTATCCGTCAGAGAGTTAGACGGCGGTTCAAGCTTCTGCCGCGGCGGCACCACCAGGTGTGCCAAGGGAAACCTAGGTTCGGCGGGTGGTTCGGGAGCTGGGCTTATCGCAACAGGCTCGGAGAGCAACGAATTGGTGATTTATCACGTGGACTCCAAATCCCGCTGCAACTGCGCCTTGAAGTTTGACTTCGGCTTCGCTAAGCCGCCCGGCAACTACGGGGGTTCGGACACTAAGGGACGGTCTAGGACTCCAACCTTGGGAATGGCTGGGAGGGATAGTAGCAGCGGGGGAGAGATGAGGGGAAGCGGGAGCGGAAGCGGAGGTGGTGGGGGAAACGTCTTTGTGAGCGCCGTTAGCTGGCAGCAGCGCCCTGATAGTGACGTGCTTGCTGCAGCCAATTCCCAAGGGGTAGTGAGGATACTTCGGACCCAGTGTGAATAATGGAGATACGGTACATTTGTACACGACTATTGTGAATTCCAGTAGGCGTTCTTTTTATCTGTATGCATTTTCACTTCAGTCCCACAGTCCCAATACTGGATGACCATGTGCAAGTGTACCTCAAGGTAATATGGATGCACACCTGATATGCTTCTTCTTTGTAATGGTGCAAATTACTAAAATTTTAGCACTCCTTCGCAATTCAAAGTACCAGGAGATCTTAGTCAACACTGGAAGCACAAAAACGGATGTTACCAGCCATTCTTTCATGGCTGATAATAAGCTACGGTGTGCAATCAGGCTCGCACTAACACATGACCAGATTTAGCGAAGAAAGGAACTATTCAGCAGCTTTAAACCTCTTCTGTGCATGTTCTTCACTCGCTGCCCTCTCCATGCTTGTGCTCCGCTCCACTCTAAAATGACCTCTCCCAGCCTCCTCTCCTCCCATGCCTCCTGCTGCTCCCCCTTCTCCCCCTCCTCCAGCAGCAGCTGCAGCAGCAGTAGCTGCTGGGTCTGCCATCCCCGAACCTGCCCCAAGTCCGGCCATTCCTGCTGCCGGCCCACGCATCCCAGGCATGGCAGCCAGGCTCGGGTGCAGCCCTCCTCCGGCCGCTGCGGCGGCCGCCGCGGCCGCTGCAGCAGCAGCATAATTATGAGGGGAAATACCCGCACCAGGGAGGTGCATACCCCCCGCACGCAGAGCCTCGAGTGAATACGCCCCATGGTGTGCTGCTGCAGCTGAAAGCGCAGCTGCATGGTGTTGTGAGGCATACGAATGGAGAGACTGCAGAGACGCATGAGAGTGAGCTGTTCCTGAGGTTCCCCCCGCTGTAGCAGAAGCAGCAGCAGCGGCGGCGGCGGCTGCTGCAGCAGTCCCAGCACCAGTAGCAGGAGCAGAACCTGCTGCTTCCCCTGCCGCCGCCGCAGCAGCAGCAGTGGCACCGGCACTTGCCGCTGCCGCAGCCGCCGCCGCAGCTGCTGCTGCTGCTGCCGCAGCAGAGGGGTTATGCGCGTGGTGCTGATAGTAAGCAATCTCAGCAGCAGACGGGCCATACGGCATCGAACCAGCAGCCGCAGCAGCAGCGGCGGCAGCTGCAGCAGCGGCAGCAGCAGCCGGATCGTGCCGATACGCCATTGGCTGGTGGTGATGGTGATACATATACTGTGCCATGTGATTCACCCTTCCAAGCATCTCCTCGGCCATTTTCACCTTAGCTCGCAACGCCTCCACATCGGATTTTAACACACGGTTGTCAACAGCAGCGTCGCTGTATTTGCGCCCGATCTCCCCCAAGCGGCTGGCGAGGTTGGCGTTTTCGATCTGCAGCTGCGTCACCTGCGTCTCCAGCTCCCCCATGTGCGCCTGCTTTCGCCGCCGCGACCGCCGCGCCGACTCGCGATTGGACAGCATCCTGCCACGTGGACAGAGGCACAGCTGGGAGGAAACGTTGACATGGCATGACGTAGAGGCGAGATAAACAGCTAGTAGAACTTTCTTGATTGATACATCCAAAAGCTACGTACTGTCTCACAAACTTGTGTATCCTATCAATCTACACCCTTCACACCTTTCACTCAACTAAGATAGTACCCTTACCTCTTGACTCGTTTGATCTCCTCAGGATCAGTCAGGTGCTCCAAAGATGCTACCAGCTCATCCTCTCCCTCCGACCTCCCTCCATCATCAGAATGGTTCTCATCCGACCCAACCCCATGCTCCCTCCCCCCTCCCCCATGCGCGCCCGCCCTCGTTCCCCCTCCGCCTCCCCCCCGCCCGCTCGATGCTCCCCCCAGGCTCCTCTTCCCCGCACCCTTTCCGCCAGCTCCCCCGCCCGGCTGCCTGCCGGAGGTCGGGCTGGCGGCTTCCGCCGCGCCAGGCGGGGCGCACAGGCGGCCCATTTCCTCTGGGGTTGGGTGGACCACGGACGGCGGGGGAGGCGGAGAAAGAGGCGCGCCGTTCGCCGATGCGGGAGTGCCATTTGTCGCCACGCCATTGGCTACGGCTGCGGCTGCGGCACTTGCAGCGGAGGCGCCGGTCATGGCAGCTGCTACGTCCGCGGTCGGCGCCTGCTGGGCGCGGGCGAATGGGGTAATGGGGAGGGCGGAGGGCGGAGGAGGTAAGGGGGACGGCGGAGGCCAGGGAGGGTAAAGGGGAGAGCGGAGGGTGGAATTAATTGGGTATAAATGTGGGGTGCAGGAACAGGAGCGGGCGGGGAGAAGCGGGAGAAATGAAGAGGGGGGGGGGGGGAGGGGGGAAGGAGCAATGCGCGCAAGCGGCAGCGAACTCGAAATATGGCGGGCCGAGGGGCCACAGATCGACGGGGAAGATCAGTGGCGGCGACGAACGGCGGAAAGAGGGTGGGATCGGGTTAGATCTTTCATACCAGATCTGCGGCGTATAAACCCTCAAGACATGGACAGGCATGTTCAGAAGATCTTCATACCTGCTCTGCTGCGGCTGCCGTTGCCGTTGCCGCTGCCGTTGCTGCTGCCGTAGCTGCAGCCGCATCCGCTGCCGCGCCTAACGCGCCTGACGCCAATCCCTTGCTAGACGGGGAGCGGAACACCCCGACCCCGCCAAAACTCCCCCCATCCCCCGCCGCTCCAGCAGTTGTCCCGCCCCGCCCCGCCTCCGCCTCTTCCCCCGCCGCCCGCCTTGGCGCGGATAATCCCAACCGCGGATCGCCTCCCGCCAGGTCTAATCGACTCAGTCTGCTGCTCCCCATTGCGCCGAGCCCGTCCGCCGCTGCACCGCCTCCTGCGGCGGCGGCGGCGGAAGCGGGCATTCCCGCGTCAGCTTCTGTTCCCGGTCGTCCGAACATACTTAAGTTAAGCCGAGACGGGCTCTCTCCTAAGAGCTTATCAAGGCTCGGAACGTGGCTAAGGCCGGCCATTAGAGGGCTAACTCCGCTGAACCCAGTCACTGTCCCCGCTGCAGTCTGCTCCTTTATAAACTCCTGAAACGCCCATTCCGAGGATATTCTGTTCATACGATGAAAAGAGCCGGTGCGTGGAATTGGACGCTGCAGCTCGCTGCTACCCAAACCGCCGGACATTCCGCCGGAGTATCCGCCGGGGAAGGCGGACGCCCCTGGAGGGAGAAGCCCGCCAGAGGCGGCAGCAGCGGCGGCTGCGGCGGCTGCAGCAGCGGCGACATCGCCTGACGACTCGACCTTCCAGAAAGTTCCTAATATATCGTCTACTGAGAAAACTCTCTCCATTTCAGCATATAAAACAACGAAATTAATAGGCTATTCCTACGAAACACTCGACGTCACAACAGCCTCGACAGCAACAGTGAGAATGGCCTAGGTTATCAGAAACGTAGCTACGATCAGTATGAAGAGAGAAGTAATCACCCTCATTTGCGAACACGGATCTTTTTCACAATCAGCACGATGTATTCTGCTACAAGAAAACCAAATTAACACAAGGAAGCGCGATCAGCAAACAAAGCGATTAATCAACACCACCGTGCTCTTAGGAAAGCTAGAGTGACCACTGACCAGCCATTCCAACGGACTCTTGGGGTTGATCTGGATCGGCTTTCCACGACAGCTCCCTCGGGCTCCCCAAATCGTGCGGGTGGGGTTTCTCTGGTTCCGTTTTGGCGTTCAAACGGGTGGGTCACGGTAGAGATGCTGGTGATGCGATGACTCAGCTGTGGGCCGTTGCCAACGTCACCTGGGGCCCTGCCTCCGTGTCCTCTGGCCCAGCCTCTACCAACCACCTGACTGACACCTGACCAGAAAACGCTTTTCAGTCTGTATGCACTTTGGGAAAGGAGAGAGAGGGCAGTGAGGAAAAAATAAATCGGCTCTATGCTATACGTCAGCCGTTCGATACGATATACACGAATTCGACGGCTGCTACTCATCCACCGATGAGCTTCCCCTCCGACCCGCATTCCGAAAGGTTTCGTATCAAACCCACACCACTTAATCGCGTCGCCAACATGACGAGCCCCTTGTGGGAAGCCTGGTCAGAAACTGAGCGATTTCCGGTCGTTCATATCGACGGCTGTATTTCATTCCTGAACTTTTGCATGTCTTCTAGATGTGCGGGGTGAGCTCCACATTTATCGGCGCCGCGTTCCCAAGCTTGTGAGAATTGAATGGACCAGACATTCCTGCTGCCCGTAGGGGGTAGGCAAAACCCTCGGTGTGCTGTGAAGGAATCTTGTCATGGATGACGTGTCCCTACGTGTGCCAGGTAAGCCCCTATGCAACTGTGATGAGTTGGCTGGGTATGCCACGCCACAGTTCATAGTTCCATTTCGTGCAATTGAGTGGGATAATTTGTTCGCCATTGTGTAAGGTTTCGGCAACCATTCTGCATAGAGACCTACTGAGAATTGCACTACCGAATCTGTCAATGACGCATAATTTTAAGTGTACACCGACGGTGTGCAACAGTATGCACAGCTCGTAGCCTTTCGGTGAAACGCCGACGTCGTGGGCGGAAAGAAGTTGGCCATCGTGTGAAACGAAGCTTCGGGACAGTCAAACGTTCACTGAAGATTCTCAGGCCAAGTGGTTCGGAACTTCGGACCTAGGTTGGGCATGTGCTCAGCACAGCAGCTCACAGTACTCAGGCTCGGAGCGAGCGACGCGCACTGAAGATCCAACCACGTGTCCAAAAACCTAGCCATCAGCCTGACACGTCTCGCAATGCAATCCGAGCCGACGGGTTTCTTGCGCGTGGTCGGAGCGTGAAATGGTCGTCGTGTCGGCTCCATGCGAGGAAAACGAAAGCGGGGGAACGAGGTGAAAGCAACACGGCTCGGTTCGGGCACCTGGGGCGGCAGAAAGAGATTATGTGAGGATGGCGTGCTGCGCTCGAGGCCATGGATTGCAGCAGAAAATCCTTCCCCACGCATCTTCCCCCCAACCCCACCCATTTCAAAAGCTCCGCGCCAGCTGCCGTGCTGCCCGTTCCCCCCAAACCTCCCAACCTGCTCTTCGCCACACCTCACAGCTCGGGTTGGAGTGCTGGCACTTTAACCGAACTCAACCAGTGTCAAACCATCTGTAAGCCGCTTTAAGCCTCGTTTCTTCCTGGCCTCCCCTCTTTCCTGGTTTTGCTGCTTGTCGAAATTGCGTCCTTCGTCCTTCCCCCGTCCTCCCTAGGCGCAGCCACAACGTTATCTCAAAACATCGCATCCGCTCCGTCCTCACAATTTTGCTTCATTTCCTCTTCTTGCACGCCAGCTGCCTGTATTTCTAGCTCGCACCAGCAGATTACCAACCATCAAGCGAGGCAACAGAGTCTTATTACCGGATAACTCGGATTACTGAGATTAGTAAATCATAATAAATACACGTTCAAATATTGAACGTGCTGTGTAGCGCCATGTCTCCCACATCTCTCCCTTTCTCTCACAAGAGGCGCCCTTTCAGGCGAGAACGACTCGTTCTCACCTGCTCTCTCGCCCTGGCGACGCTCATAGCATCATTCGCGCTGCTCGTCCCGTCAACCGCCGCCACGCTGAAGCTCGGCCCGTACATCGCGCCGGGCGCCACGGACAACCGCGGCCCGTGCCCGGCGTTCAACACAATGGCGAACCACGGCGTGTTTCCGCGCGACGGCTCCGCCATTCCGCGCAAGCGCATCGTCCACGCCTTCCGCAAGTTCTACTCCTTCTCCCCGACGGTGACAAACGCGCTGATCAAGGGCGCGTTCTCCAAAGGCGTCGGGGATCCCAAGGCGGGGACGATCGATCTCGTGCAGCTCCGCGCGCACAACAAGATCGAGCACGACGTCTCGCTCGTCCGCGACGACGCGTACCTCGGTAACAACTACCTCGTTAACGACACGCTCTTCAACCAAATGCTTAAGTTCTCCTCGACGAAAAAATACATGACTCTCCGCGAGATCGGCCGCTTCCGCAAGCACCGCTTTTACGCCTCCCATAAGAACAACCCCCAGCTCAATTACGATACGAACTTCGAAGCCGTGGCGTTTGGGGAAGCAGCAGCGCTGGCAGGGGTGTTCGGCGGAAGATTGCGCTTCTACGCGGTTCCGGTTGACTACCTCAAGTCGTTTCTCCGCGATCAACGCTATCCTAAAAACTTCAGGCCGCCGCTTGTTCCGCTGAGCTTCCCCGAGCTGCTCGCCGTCGCGGCGCGCATCAAGGTCGCCGCGTTTTTCGCTTGAGAAACGAGAAGGATCTGTTTCATGGCGGCCTATATCGCGGATACGAAGCAGCAGCTATTCTGCTGTACCGTAGTAGCCGACTCTGGGACTCCGTGGTTCCAAACTATCATTGCCCATGGCGGAAGGGAGGAACCGTTTGTTGTTTGTGCTTTTAATTATTCTGTAGAGCAAACCAACGTCTCACGTTGTTGCCTGAACTGACCATTGGTTTGTAGGTAGTCTTGGTAACAGCGTTTGGCTTTGTGTACCCCGTGGCTATAAGTACTAGTGTTCAATCGTACCTTTTCGCTCATGTGCACAAGTTTATCACTTGCCCACCCAGTCAGCCTGTGCTGTGTGCTCACTCAGCAGCATGAGTGCTCTGAAAGAAACTAGTCCACTACAGCTTCTGGTGTATTTGTGCTGCCATTTGTAGTAGGTACCGGTACCCGTGCCGAGGACCGCTGCATTCCTGTAATCACGCACCCTTTTGAATCTGCCCCTATTCCACCATACACTACAGCCAATACCAGCACAACCTAGGGTATCCTTGGAGGGACATTGCAATAGCAGTACGCGTTCCTGGACGGAGATACAGTAGCCATACGTATTCCTGGACGGAGATACAGTAGCCATACGCATTCCTGGACGGAGATACAGTAGCCATACGTATTACCAATACAATCAGCACATCACAATGTAGGGCTCCATGTGCTCAGAAGAGACCAGTTATAAGCTTACATTCTACTGGTGATAGGCCAGATAGTAGATACTGGTGAAACCTTACAATTGTCCCCTATTCCACATGCTGAAAATGTGGGCCTCAGTTTCAGACCCCCATGAGAGAACTGCATGGACTACCGGCTGATTCGCTGTGCTCCTAGCCTCATGCCAGTGGGTTTCTTCCCCCCACTGTCATCCCCAAGCATACTCTCCAAATCCATGCTCGCTCCAGCTGGCAGCTTCACGTGCCCACTTGCCGCACCACCAGCTCCGCTCCGGCTCGCTGCCGAACCTCTTCCAACCGCCGAACCGGACGCGCCAGCTCCGGCACGGAGAGGCTTGGCAGAGCTGACAGGGGCAGGTGCAGCAATAGCAGCCCAGGGATCCTCATCCTTACTGCTTGCTGCAGAAGAAGTTGCTGCTGGTGCTGCAGGTTTCCCTCTTGTCACACCGACGGACCCACCTGCCTTGCCTGCTGCTGCTCCCCCGCCTAATCTCACCCCTGCCGGCCGCACTGGTGCTGCTTTTTGAGGCGACGCAGTGGCAGTGCTGCCTCCAGCTGCTGCTGAGGCGGTAGCAGCAGAAGCAGGCGCAACAGGAGCATGATGCACCACAGGCCGTTGCTGGGCTGCCTGCATGCGAGAGAGTGATGCCGCGGCAGCAGCAGCAGCGGCATTAGAAGCAGCAGCGGCAGCAGAAGCACCCTTAGATGCAGAACTGTCCTCCCCATCATCCAGATCACCCCACCCGTCCCCATCCTCCTCCTCCTCCTCTGCTTCGGGTTCAGCTGGGGAAGGTGCAGCTGGGGCAGGCTTGGAGAAGGTGTGAGAGGAGGGGGCGGCAGGTCTGGCTGGGGCTGGTCGGTGCACGGAGGGCTTTGGTTTCGGCTGCTCTTCCTCCTCCTCCTCCTCTTCCTCGATTTCTCCCCACCCGTTGCCCTCAGGCTCTGATGCTGCTGTGGTGTGATGGTGGTGAGGTGAGGGAAGGGTTGGGAGAGAGGGCAGAATGGCAGATGAGTGAGAGGAGGCTTTGAAGGGAGACAGATTAAGCAGACTGTAAGATTCACCAGGCGATTATGAGTTGTTTCTAGAAGGAAGAGGGGATGGTAGGTGGTTACGCAATTGAGTTAACTAAAACTGAGGGGAGGAGGAGATGGTTGGTTCAAGAATGTGAGAGGGAGAATGGAAGGTGAGAGGATACGTGACAAGTCGAGAGGCATGCTGCAGACTCATACTAAGAACAAGAGTCAAAGGATGGCAACAGACCAGCAGCAGCAGCAGGAGCAGTTGTGGAATCTCCTGCCGAGACAGCGGCAGAAGCCCCGGCACCTGGTGCAGTGGGGCCCGCCTTGGGGCCTGCTGAGGTGAGTGAGCTGACAGCCCAACTGGTGCGGGGGATAGTAGGGGGTTGGGTAAGGGGATGGAAGGGGATGGGAGGGAGAGGGAGGGAGGAGTTTCACGGCTGAACAGGGAATGAACACGAGTAGCACAAATATGGTCTATGGCCCTGCTGGCTCGAATGAGCTGCCAGCTGGTGCGAGAGAGATAAGAGAGAATATGAGACGAGGTGAGAAAATGTGCGAAGGGATTGAAAGGCACAGTAACAGTCGCACTTGAACAGTCCTTCACAAGACGACTCAACAGATGCAGCAGACAAGAAAACTCACCCCAGCAGCCCTCCAGTAGAGCCAGATGCAGCAGGGGCAGCAGCAGTAGGTGCAGCTGTTCCGTGTGCTTGTTGTTCCACCGAGTGCCCTTCCAGCTGCCAATGGAAACAAGAGGTCAAAGGCAGCAGCATCAAACGGAAGAGAAAAATGTGGGAACTGGGTAGGAAGCGGGGAGTACGATGGAGGAAGGGTAGTGAAGGTTGCCGGAGCATGGAAGTTGTAACAATGAGACAGGGTGCTTGGGCATGGGAGTTACACGTGGCTGAAAGGGCGAAACACAGGGAGAAATGACGCACCCCTTGAGGTGAAAGATGTGGGATCACACTTGGTTGACAGCTGAGCACTCAAGGTTGGTAAACAGAATTCTAAAACGTTCAAATCAGCACTCTGGCGAGTGAGTACCTTAGCGTGGAAATCAGAGACAGACTGGAGGAATGAAAAGGCAGCTTGGACGGCTCTGGTGTGCACATCACTGGTGGTGGGGGGTTTGGGGGTTGAAGAGATGGTGATTAGCATGAGTCTGGTTTTGAGGCGCCTCAACAGTAGACTCAGAAGGAATGAAAAGGCCATCCTGGACTGCCCTGGTGTGTACGTCACTGGCAGGGGGGAAGGTGACGTGAGAAGGGAAAGGGGGATGAGATGCAGGGGAGGAGAGGTACAATAGAAGGGGTTGAAAAGGAAACAGCACATGCCATGTGGGTGCAGGATCACATGGGGTGAGTTTATTGCAAGCCAAGACGCTCACCTAGCAGGGGACAGAAACCTAAAGCCACGACCACAGGGGGGTAACATGGACTCACGTGTCGGCATCCACTGTGAGCACCACCAGAGCAGGCAGAATGCGGGTGGCGATTTCTGTGACGTCGTAGTACTCCCTTGTGGCTGACAGCGCCATGATGCCTGCATGGGGGCGTGAAGGGGTGTGGGGGGGAAGAATCCTATGGTAAGGAAGAGGTGTGGTGTGATGTGGTGTGGTGTGGTGGCAATCTCTGAGACGTCGTAGTACTCCCGTGTGGCTGACAGCGCCATGATGCCTGCATGGAGGGGGGTGTCACCGGGGTGAGAGGAATGGGAGGGGGATGCGAAGGGGGTGTGGTGGGGTTGAGGTGAGGTAGCGATCTCAGTGACGTCGCAATACTCCCTCGTTGCTGACAGCGCCATGATGCCTGCATGGGGGAGATGAAAGAGGGGGGGGGGGGGGGGGTGTGAGAGGGACTAAGTTTGGCGAGCGGGGCCCATGACATGAGGTGGCGATCTCTGTGGCGTCGTAACACTCCCTCGTGGCCGACAGCGCCATGATGCCTGCATGGGGGATGTGACAGGGGTGTCGGAGGATGTGAGGGGGATGCGGTGGGGTTAGGTGTGGTGGCAATCTCTGTGACGTCGTAGTATTCCCTTGTGGCGGAAAACGCCATGATGCCTGCATAGAAGGGTGTGAAGAGGGTGTGGGGGGGATGATGTGAAGGGGGGGGGGGTAGTGCATGCGATGAGGAATATTGCCAAGTGAGTTTGTGGCAGAAAGAAAATGTACAACGGAATCCGCAGACATTCACATTCCTGCAGTTTTGGCCTGCACATGCAGTCCTAGGTCGTACCTGGAGCCATGGCACGGGGAGATGGTACCTGCAGCCATGGCAGGGGGAGGTCGTACCTGCAGCCCTAGCAGGGGGGAAGGCGTCCCTTAGAGCGCGGACAGTGAAGGCATTGATAAGCACTCGCTTGCGTGTCTGTGGGAGCAACATGGAGAGCAAGGAGAGCATGTGCATAGGGGAGGGGTGGCAGAGAGGAAAATGTTGGGAGGAGGGAGGGAAGGGATAGACATTTGGTGTACGGACCACAAACGCGGACCGAGTTGACTTTTGAGTCGACTCAAAAGTTAAGGGATGGACATTTGGTGTACGGACCACAAACGCGGACCGTGGATGAGCCAAGGCTGGTGTGAATGGGGTGCAACGTTTTGAAGTAGAGCTCACAACGTCATCGAGACATGTTTTGAAGCGCAATATTGAGGCAACTCACAACATAAGTAAGGTGCATTTTGAGCCACTTCAAATATGCGTCTAACTCACAGCGTCGTTGAGGTGTCTGGCGATGTTGCCGAGCAGAATGGTGGTGTTGGTGCGGATGGGTGTCTTTTTTTCCCTTTTCTTAGGTGAGTTGCCAACTTACTAACAGCGTCATTGAGGGGGACTAACAACTCGTGTGCAACTCACAGCGTCGTTGAGGTGTCTGGCAATGTTGCCGAGCAGAATGGTGGTGTTGGTGCGTATAGCTCTTGAGTCGAGTAAAAGCACATTCCCATTCAACGCACACTGAGGGACAACATAGTGAGCCCAACTCACAGCGTCGTTGAGGTGTCTGGTAATGTTGCCGAGCAGAATGGTGGTGTTGGTGCGGATGGGTGTCTTTTTTTCCCTTTTCTTAGGTGAGTTGCCAACTTACTAACAGCGTCATTGAGGGGGACTAACAACTCGTGTGCAACTCACAGCGTCGTTGAGGTGTCTGGCAATGTTGCCGAGCAGAATGGTGGTGTTGGTGCGTATAGCTCTTGAGTCGAGTAAAAGCACATTCCCATTCAACGCACACTGAGGGACAACATAGTGAGCCCAACTCACAGCGTCGTTGAGGTGTCTGGTAATGTTGCCGAGCAGAATGGTGGTGTTGGTGCGGATGGGTGTCTTTTTTTCCCTTTTCTTAGGTGAGTTGCCAACTTACTAACAGCGTCATTGAGGGGGACTAACAACTCGTGTGCAACTCACAGCGTCGTTGAGGTGTCTGGCAATGTTGCCGAGCAGAATGGTGGTGTTGGTGCGTATAGCTCTTGAGTCGAGTAAAAGCACATTCCCATTCAACGCACACTGAGGGACAACATAGTGTGCCCAACTCACAGCGTCGTTGAGGTGTCTGGCAATGTTGCCGAGCAGAATGGTGGTGTTGGTGCGAATAGCTGCCTCCTCATCCACCTGCCGCATGGATTGTCAGGGAGAGTGGAAGAATGTGCGGTGTGTTACCAATATTATTACCACTACCACTACCACTACCATTACCATTACCATTACCATTACCACTACCATTACAACTACCATTAGCATTAGCATTACCATTACCATTACAACTACCACTACTATTACCATTATCAACACCATTACCATTACCATTACCATTACCATTACACCCTCTTTCTCGCTACACTGAACTGTGCTGAGCTGGTGGCAAACATTGTTATCTTTGATTTGCCCATTTGAACCATATCAAAACGTAACTCAACCACCGTTAACCGTGCTTTTCCCATCTTAACTTCACTAAAACCAAATTCACAATGGCGAGAAAGAGGGTGGATTACCATTATCATTACCACTACCATTACCATTACCATTATCACTACCATTGCCATTGTCATTGCCATTGCCATTACCATTACCATTACCATTACCATTACCATTACCATTACAATTACCATTACCATTACCACTACCACTACCATTACCATTCTACTGCCATCACTACTACCACCACCATTACCAATACCAATACCAATACCAATACCAATACCAATACCATTACCATTACCATTACCATTACCACTATCATTACCATTACCACTACCATTACCATTATCATTACCACTACCATTACCATTACCATTATCATTACCACTACCATTACCATTACCATTATCATTACCACTACCATTACCATTACCATTATCATTACCACTACCATTACCATTACCATTATCATTACCACTACCATTACCATTACCACTACCACCTGGACTGAGAGAGACGGAACGCACCTGCAGCTTTGAGAGGTGCTTGAGAAGCGGCCCTCCGAGAGTGCGTTGGGAGAGCTGCGAGGAGGGGTGTAAAGGGAGGAGGGAAAAGGAAATGGAAGGGAGAGGAAATGTTGGCCGCGCCTTGCATCTTGGAGAGCTATCAGGTATAGGTACCTTAGCTGGGTAGACAGGAGCAGCTTGGTTGGAGGAAGAAGCCTTAAGTATATAGGGTGAAAAGGGACATACCTTGGGAGCAAGAAGCATCATGGACTTCAGAGTGAGCTCTCTGAGCAGCGCTGAGGCATCAGTGAAGCCGGAGGCGAGGTGTGGAAGCACCTGCTCCTCTGCCACGTTAGGGGCTATCTGCAAGGGCTAGCTAGCCACTCCTTCAACATAGGGATGCACCTTGGGTAGAAGAATACGTACCTTGGGTGCAAGAAGCAGCATGGATTTGAGCGTGAGCTCCCTGAGCAGTGCCGAGGCATCAGTGAAGCCGGAGGCGAGGTGTGGAAACACCTGCTCCTCCACCACATTGGGGGCTATCTGTGCTCCGAACGAGTCCAAATTCTGCAGCAGCGCCACCCGGATGGCTCGGTCCGACGAGCCAAACAGCTTCACGAGTGTGGGGAGAACCTGAGGGCGGAAGGGGGGAAGGAAGTATAGAGAAGGAAAGTATTTGAGTTGAAATGTACGCGCAAAAGAAACTCATGTGCCGAAGAAAATCATGTGCCGAAGAAATTCACGCGCCTAAGAACTTCACAAGCCAAAGAAGAACGAAGTAGTGACGAGAAAGGCTCGGTTTCGAGATTGTCAGCCGCCCTAGCTCAGTCGGTAGAGCGCAAGGCTCTTAACCTTGTGGTCGTGGGTTCGAGCCCCACGGGCGGCGACTTCTTTTCTGTGTGCCCATGTTTTCCCTGCCTTCTTTGTTAGACCTTTGTGTGCTGGTTGTGTGTAACGCGGATATGAACACCAACCACCTATCCTTTGCCTCCCATACGCCCCCAGGTTCTCGCAACACTCATGAAACCCAAAACCCTGGTCGGACCTTAAACACTCGCTGGTGCTGCTGCTGCTGGTGCTTCTGGTGCATGCACATGCAACAAACATGCACCAGACACCACCACCAGCTTACCTTGGCATTAAACTCCTCTTGATTAAGCCACCCGCCCAGCTTCAGCAGCACAGTCAGTGCCGGTGCAGGAGCAGACCCAAACTCGAGGGCAGAGGCGAGCTGAGGGAGGATCTTGTTGAGCAGGATGGGGCGTGAGAGCTGGTCACAGAGGGCAGGGAGGCGGCGGAAGAAGCCGTCCTTCTCCACGCTGTCCTTGAGGCTCAGCACCTCCATGAACTGCACCGTTTCCACCAGCTTGTTCTGAAAGAACTCTGCGAAAGCAGGGGCGAATACACACAGAACACAGATGGGAGTGGTAGGATTGTGGGATGGAGGAGAGGAAGAAGCCGTCCTTCTCCACACTGTCCTTGAGGCTCAGCACCTCCATGAACTGCACTGTTTCCACCAGCTTGTTCTGGAAGAACTCTGGAATGTGGAGTGTGGGCAGACGGGATAGAGGGCGAGGACGGGTGGGATAGGGGGGTACATTGTCCTTGAGGCTCAGCACCTCCATGAACTGCACCGTCTCCACCAGCTTGTTCTGGAAGAACTCTGAACGGAATGCAGGTGGGTTGGGGTACATTGGCACAGGAAATGGGTGGGGTGGGAGGAATGCTGTCTTTGAGGCTCAGCACCTCCATGAACTGCACCGTCTCCACCAGCTTGTTCTGGAAGAACTCTGAACGGATTGCAGGTGGGTTGGGGTACATTGGCACAGGGAATGGGTGGGGTGGGAGGAATGCTGTCTTTGAGGCTCAGCACCTCCATGAACTGCACCCACCAGCTTGTTCTGAAAAAAACTCTGGAATGAAATGCGCGGTGTGGGGGGTGTTGACACAGGGGGTGGAAGGGTCATGGGTGTTGTGCACCGCCCTGTGGCTTAGCCCTCCACAGGTGCTCAGCTACAGGTCCCCCACAGGTGCTCCGTCACAGGTGCTAGGGGACGGCTTCTTCCGTCGCCTCCGCCCCCTTGAGGCGGAGGAGCACCTCCATGAACTGCACTGCACCGTCTCCACCACCTCGATGACTTTTGAGTCGACTCAAAAGCTTGGACTCAGTCCATTTCTCCATTCTTGCAGCACTCACCACTGTTGTCGATGAGCTTGGCAGGGTTGAGTCGCCTAGCAGGGGCAGAGCTGAGCAGGCGCTGGTAGTCAGGGAGAAGGGTCTGTGTGTGGAGACAGAGGGTGGGGGAGGGCGGGGAAAGGGGAGGCTAGGGTGAGGGAAAGGGGAGGCTAGGGTGAGGGAAAGGGGAGGCTAGGGTGAGGGAAAGGGGAGGCTAGGGTGAGGGGTTTAGGAAGAGGCAGATGGCCCAAAGAAACTTCGAAGAGTCAAGTGTGTGTGTGTGTGAAGTGGGGATGGAAGGGGTGCGTGTGTGTGGGAGTTGGAGGCAATAATGGCTGGTGGACAGGAAGGAGCAAGGGCAAGAAGAGAGGCAATCAAGGTAGCAAATTATGCATGGTGCGTCACCTTGGGAATGCAGGCTGTGTTCCTGAGCTCTTCTGTGCGTGTGAGCTGGTGCCCTGAAAACACCTCCTGGATCAAACAGCCTGCGATCATAGGGAGAGAAGCGTAGCAGAAGAATCCGAAGAAGAGTAAGAGATAATCACAAAGGAAAGACTTCGAACAAAAACGGGCACAGAAGAAAGGCGGGTGAAAAGGGGGAGGGGAGACGATTTCAGCCACTCTTGGCTACTGAAGGAGTGGTGGCAGATAGGCTTTGCATAAGAAAATAACAGCTGTGATAGCACATATCACTCACCAAGGCCCCAGGAGTCGATGGCGTAGGGAGGGCCCCTCCTGATGGCGGCCCAGTCGCTCTTTGCGAACTCCATGGACTTGTACTGCGCACCCACCATCCACTCGTATGGCTGATGGATGTGCATACATGTGTGTAGGGGTGGCATGGTGGATGGTGCGGTCGATGCACATGCACATGGTAACACATATGCACATGCGCACACGCACATGACAATGCACATGCACATACACAAGGCAACGCACACGCACATGCTATCCCAGCACACTCGCACATGCACATGCAAACACAATGCCAAGGAGACGGGAAGGGGGAAGAAGGAAAATAAAAATACGTAGAGAAAGAAAGGGAAGGAGAGAGGAAAGAAGAGCACCGACATGAATGCATGCTGGTGTGACCAACGGTCTAATGGCACTACTAAGTTAACAATCACTTGATAAATTATTTGTTCCGGATTTTCCTCAACAGATGTTGTGTCCCTTACCAGCATGGGCCCCTCAGGGGCGTCTGCTTTGCCCCCATCGAACTCTGACAGCACATCAAAACCGTGTAGCTTCCAGTCCAGAGCACCAGTGGTTACCACTGCCGCCATGCACACGTGGCCGTGCACCTGCAGGGTTGGGGAAAAGGTGTTGACATCGGGAAAGGCAATTAAAGCATGCACCAAAGCAGTGCAGTGCAAGCGTTTTACACCACTTGCATGCAGCGGGCGGATGGTTGAGGGGGAGGGGATGGATTGAGCATGGATAATTGTAAGTGCACATGGAAAATCCGTATTGGGCAAAGGGGCAATTCATGTGCGCCTGCTGAACCCACCAGCTTGCAGTCATTGTTAAGGAAGCTGACAGCCTTGGCCACTTGCAGCAATCCCCATGCGTAGTACTCATCCCTGCACATCAGCACGGCAGTGCCACACACACAGAACACAGTACACAGCATAGTAGAGCAGCGCACTGCCTGATAAGTACACATGCACACACCACACAACAAAGACCTGTCCCCATCCCTCCCATCCCCAACACACCCACCCACCCTCCCCATCCCCAACCCCCTTCCCTGCACCCCTCTCACCGCTGCGGCCCCTTAAGCTTGAGCTCTTTGAGCCGGAGGTCCAGCGGCATGACGGGCTCGGTGATGATGTAGATGGTCGGCTTCTGCACGCCGCCCTCCTCCTTCTCCACCTCCAGGCTGTTCAGAAACGACAGCACGTTCGGATGCCGCAACTGCCAAGGCGAGGGCGTGGAGGAAAGGTGCGGAACGGGGGAGGGAGAGAGGAAGGGGAAGGACAAAGTAATCACGGTTCGGAAACGCTCCACCGATAGCACGCCCAGGTAACGCAGCTGCGGAGGAAAGGTGCGGAAATGAGGGAATGGGGTGGTGGGGAAGGGGGGGGTGTTGGCCCGGGGGGAAACGACAGAAGACCACCAGACAGCTGGTTCATAAGCTTAGATTTGCAGCAACTGTAGGTACATGAGCGCTGATATATCAGATCCACGAGCCTTTGGCTTCATTGACCGCACCATTCTGAGTCGCTTGACGCAGTTACGGGCAGGGGCAAGTCTGGCGTCTTGAGGATTCGAACCCGTTATGGAGAAAATCGATACTGCACTGCCATCCTCCTGACCGCACACGCAGTGCACACGGATTCACGTACACGAACAATGAGCAATCATGCACGAATGAGTCACCTTGTTCGACATGGTACGACGTGGCATCCAGTAACAGACTTAATGTTTCTGACCACGTGGAGTGCGCACAATGTAAGACGAACGAAGTCGCATTACGATCAGCCCTTCTTCGTACAGCACACAGCTCCCACAGCCCTTCTAAGATTCTCACGGGCCTCACGATATTACCACAATCAACAACTGCTATTGTACTCATGAAAAATAAAAAACTCTCAAACTTACAACAGGACACCGCTGCAATCAACGACTGCTCGGCCAGTTCGGAGGTTCGCACCTTGCTGGTGCCTTTGTGGTGCGTCCAGGGGCCCCATGCGGAGGGATAAGCTTCGCCAATGTTATACGGAAACTCCTTCGCCCCTCCACCAGTCCCCAGCACCGATCGCAGAAACTGCATGGTCGCTGGTCTGACTAATGATGGCTAAGCGACGGTGATAATTGAGAGTGACAACAGAGGATAACGAATAACGATAACGAGTATGAAAGCTTCAAACTTTTCTCTTGCGCTCTCGCGATCGGAACAGAGATATTCGAGCTTCAAGTAGCCTACACGCTAAAGGTTTCGTAAATCGTCTAAACGCGTGTCTTCTAAACTATATCTGGTCCGTTTTCGGCGAGCACTGGTGAAGTTAGGTGCGAATCCTGGCGTGTGAGCGCGGTCCTTTGTTACGCAGTTTCAGTTAGAGCGAAGTTCAGCGCAGCGCTGTGATTGACCAGAACGAGTGCTGCATCTTGAAAACGGCGGGACGACGGGACTAAAGCATCGCCTGACGTCGTCTGCGATATGGGGTCAGAGATGTCGCAATCTACGCGTGTGTGAGCATGCAGCAGCTTTGCTTAAGGCTCAACGAAGCAGCACATCGACGCAATAGTGCAGTTAGAATCTAATGAGCTACGAAAACGAAGCAAGGAAAACGTTGTGAGGAGAAGAATGCAGGGACATAAAACAGATTCTCAAAACTCCAGCCGTTTTGAAACAGTCTAGCAACAGAAACACCGACAACAGTAGCCTACCCACCGATAAGCTGGATCATTGGAAGTCAAAATGCGGATATGCTGCGGAACATTGCGGAGGTTGCTGGAGGGAGGTGAAGGTGAGAGAGGAGGGGGGGGACGTGAGCGTCAGGGAAGAGGCGGAGGCGACCTCCAAGTTTGTGGCAGCAAATTTGGCGGGAAACTCTGGGAATGTCGCGCAAGTCCCATTCGACCTATCACTGGACTTGTCAGTTGCCGTTGGGTCAATCGAGGATAAAACCGAAAGGCGTGCACACAGCGACGTATCTTTAGGCCATGCACCATGATATGTACACTAGGTTATGCAAAATTTAGAAACACAGCTACATCAATAACCTATGTAACGAAAGAACTAAGCCTTGCTTCCGCATCAGCAATTTCTTCCCTGTGCTTATCCAGTTCCTGCGCACAGAGGTTTGCCAACTGGTCAGCGACCGGCGGGATGGCCGGGTAACGCTCCTCATTATAAACATGAGCGTTGCGTTGAATCAGCTTCATGTCGCTCCAGAAGGCATCCCGCGACATATACAATCCTTGCCGGTTTTTCTTGGACATGGTCGAAAGATCCATGGGATGCTTGATGACCGTATGGTAGTCCGGAGCCTCCTTCTTGGTGACCGGCTTTTGAAAAATGTAAGAAATATCCGCATGGAGCCGCAGAAAGGCAAGCACATTATCAAAGATGTTCCGCAGAGAGTCTTTGGCCTGCAAGCAAACGAAGACGGAAACAAAAGGGTGTTTTTTAAAAAAAAAAGGCAACTACCAAAGAAAGAACACAGCAGCGACAAACAAAATTGCCGCACCACACTCAATAAACTGCCGCAATAGTGAATTGCACAAAAACCCACAGCAATGAAGCTAGTTCCAGCCAGGCCTCAACCACTCACCAGAACAGCCCCTTCTGGCAGCTTCATGCGCTTCAGAGCCGGCCCTCCTCCCCTCCCCCCCTCGCTGCGCCCTCCAGCACCCTCCCAAGCACCAGGCGTCGCACCGCGCTTCGCCCCCTCTCCCGCCACCCCCTTTGAGCGAGGCCCCTTGAGGGCTTGAGAGCTGCGCCGCTTCCCTCCATGCGCTCCACCGTGTCCCCTCTCCTCCTCCCTCCAATCCCTGTCCCTCTCCTCTCTCTCTCCCCTCCCCTCCCTCTCCTCTCTGTCCTTCCCTCTTGACTCTTCAATTCCCACAGAACGTGATCTTTCTCGTTCCTCCCTCCTCTCCCTCTCCTCCCTCCTCTCCCGCTCCTTCCTCTCTTTCTCTCGCCTCCGCTCCCTCTCCTCTTTGCTCTCCCTCTCTTCTCTCCCCTCCTTCGCCTCTTTACGCTCCTTATCCTCCCTTCTCCTCCACTCGTCTCTCTCCCCATGTGCATCTTCTTTTCTCCTCTTCTCCTCGCCCTTGTCCTTCTCCCGTCCCCACTCACGGTCATGCTTCCTCTCCTGCTCCTTATCCTCCCATCCATCCCTATCCACCTCACTGCCCCCTCTCCTCCACCCAATCTCCTTCGCCCTTTCCTTCGCTCGTTCCCCTCCCCTCTCCCTCTCACTATCCTTCCTCTCAATCTTAAGCTTCAGAATCCTTCCTTCTCCTTTCTCCTTCCCTATCTCCCTATCCCTCTCTCTTTCCCTTACTCCTTCCCAATCCCTCTCCTTGTGCCTCACTCTCTCCCTATCCTTGTCTTCATAATGCCTGCTCTCTTTTACCCTATCTTTCCTCCTCTCCCTCTCCTCCCCTTTTCGCTCCTGCACCTTACCCTCTCCTTCCTCACTCCTCCCCCTTTCCCAACCCTCTTTCCCAACCCACCCTTCACCATGCCTGTCCTTTCCAGCAGCTTTACCAAGCCTGTCTACCGAGCCTGGTGATGCCGAGCCTCCTCGCTCTCTCTCCGAGGCAGCAAGCCTCTTGGCAGCAGGGTGAGGTTCGGCATAAATGCCAATAGCTTCGGTACCCATCCTCAGACCTCCACTCACCTGCCCCTTCTCTCTTTTCCCCTCCCTCTTCTTCTCCTTCTCCCTCTCATGCTCCTCTCCCCACTCCCTGCTCTTCTCACCCTTCCTCTCGCTTCCCTGCCTTCTCTCCCAATCATCATTCCTGACTGTTTCTTTCACCTCTTCCATCTCCCCCTCCTCTTCAAACGGATCTAACCCACCCCTTGCTGCCTTCTTGAATCGCTGCCGCATTTCATCACCTCTCCTGCTTTCCTTCTCTTCCTCCCCCTGATCTTTCTCAGTCCTCTCCCCACCACCGCTTCTCTCTCCTCTTCTCTGCTTCTTCGGCTTATGGAACCCTTCCTCCACACTCTCCTCCTGCCACTCCTTTTCCCTATCCCCCTCGTTCCTAACCCTTTCCCTATTTTTCTGGAACTCCCCGCTTTCCATCTCAGCTCTCCTCTCCTCCTCGCCCTGTGTTCTGCTCTTCCCCCCACCCTCCTCATCCTCCCCCCCTCCTAATGTCCCTCCCTCTTCCTGCCCACCGTCCCCCTCCTGCCTCTCCAACCCTCTGCTCGCCCCACCCCTCTCTCTCCTCTTCCGCTTCCTCTTCTTCTCCTCCTTCCTACTCCATCCCTCCAGATGCCTCTCCCCCTCCCTTCCCTCACCAACCTCCCCCTCCTCATTTCTCCCCTCTCCTTGCAACAACTCTCCCTTAACCTCACCATGCAACCCCCCCAAATCCTCCTCCCCATGCCCTCTCCCCTTTTCCCCATGCGAATCCTCTCCATCCCCCACATTCCCTTGTGCCTCTGAACCACCTTTGCCTCCCAGTTTAATTCTCACACTAGGGAATTTGAACTTCAAAGAAACTTTTCCCAATCCCCTTGTCCTTCCCTTCTCACTCCCTCCCTTCTCACTCCCTCCCTTCTCACTCCCTCCCTTCTCACTCATCTCCCTCTCAACCACGCCTCCTCCCGTGATCCTCTCTATTGTGTTATCTGCATGCTGAAGCTGCATGGAAGCCTCGTGAGCAGTGGGGGACTCTCCTCCTGGGGACTCGTCTCTTGCCTTGGAGCGAGGCCGGTGGGGGGATGTCACCCCATCAGCACTGCCGTCCCCACTGCTGTCACCATGACCAGCACCCACAGCATGACTATAACCATCATCATGCCCTTCAGCACCATCACCATCATCTTTACCATCACCCACATCAACAGCATCATCTGCATTGTCAGCGCCAAGAGCAGCATCAGCATCAGCGTCAGCGTCAGCATCGCCGGCAATAGCGTCTATATCAACAGGAAGCCCGTCATCCAAAGCAGGCCGTGCACTTTTCTTCCCCTTCTTCTTCTCCTCCTTCTCCTTCTTCCCCTTCTTCCCCTTCTTCTCCTTCCGCTCCTTTTTCTCCTTACCTTTCTTACCAACACCAGCACCACCAGCACCACCAGCACCAGCAGCAGCACCACCACCACCACCAGCAGCAGCACCAGCACCATAACTAGCCTGGCTAGGCTGTGTGGCTGTCAGATCAAAATCAAATCCATCCTCCCCATCCCCAGCACCAGCAGCACCATCACCATCACCCGCACCATCAACATCACCACCATCACCTGCACCCTCACCAGCACCAGCACCAGCAGAACCACCCTTCCCACCACCGCCTCCCACCGCACTCCACCCACAAGCACCACTCACCCCTCCACCACCGGACCCCTCAACTCCCCCCTTTCCCCCAGCCTTCCCCAGCAGCAGCTTCGGCTTGATCTTAATCTTGTTTTGAGACGTCTCAAAACTCGCCTCTCCACCAACACCCGACCCCTCTACTCCCCCCTTTCCCCCAGCCTTCCCCGGCAGAAGCTTCTGCTTGATCTTAATCTTCGTCCCCTTCCTCTCCAGCAATCCCTCTGCTAGCGCCCCATCCCTGTGAATCTGATTCCCCTCCTCATCCTCCATATAGAGCGGACACTTAGCGCGGTTAGTGCGCATGTGTCCCTCCTGTCCGCACGCCCCACACACCACTGATGCCCTCTGGCCTTTCTTTGGCCCACTGCCGTCCTTCTTTCCAGCAGCTTCCTTCTTGGTGGGAGTAGGGGTTCCCTTGATAGAGGTTCCCTTAGTGGGGGTTCCTTTAACAGGTGTATCTGCCTTGGCCCCTGCCTGCCCTCCCCTCTTCCGCTTCTTTCCTGTCCCCTCGCCCCCACCCCCCTGCGCAGAAACAACAGAGGAGAATTGAGATGCTTTAGACTCCAAGACACCAGGAAGCACCACACAAGAGCAAAGAATGCACAGTGCGCCAAGCATCAGAGTCAGACAGGAGAGTAAAGTGGGGGCAAGCGGGAGAGGGGAGCGGCAGGGGGAGAAACGTGGGGCGGCGGAAGAAATGAAGGAGTGCAGAGCAAGCAACAGCAGCCTACCTTCTCTGAGGCAGCCTGTTTGGAAGGCGTGGCAGGTGGCTGGGAGGCAGCACCCGCCAATTTTTGAGTCGACTCAAAAATGAAGGAGCGCAGAGCGAGCAACAGCAGTTTACCTTCTCTGAGGCAGCCTGTTTCGAAGGCGTGGCAGGTGGCTGGGAGGGCACACCCGACACAGCAGCCTTGACTGCACCTCCCTGCTGCTCCTGCTGCTCCTGCTGCCCCTCCTGACGTTCTTCCTGCTGCTCTGCCTGTTTCTCTCCCTGCTGCACGCCCTGCCCACCTGCCGCCCCTCTCTGTGCTGCTAAGGCGGACCGCTTTGCCAGCTCAGCATCGATCTGAGAGAGTGGGGCAAGTAAAGAGAGTGGGCGGGGGAGGAGACTATTGTTTCGTCGACTGAGAGACCGTCTCTACGTGCTGCTCTGCCGCTGCCCTCCTCCCACCTGCCTGCTGCCGCCTCCATGATCATAACATAATTTCTATGTTGAGTAGTTTTGAGAATTCTCAAAAGTAAACTCAACTTTTTTGTGGGTCCGGTCCGTGATGCTGACCCAGCATGTGACCAGCACTGTGCCGTCGGGCAGCCTGTGGTGAGGTGAGGTGACTCAAACACTGACACGCGTGTGCATAGGAACACCACAGGACCCACATACTAGCTGTGGGTCCGGTCCGTGATGCTAACCTCTTAGACCACCACTGTGCTGTCGAACCAACCATGGTGAACTGGTGGGGTGGTGCACACACATGCATACCCACTACATGGACGATCCACATACTAGCTGTGGGTCCGTGATGCTGACCTCTTTGACCACCACTGTGCCGTCGAACCAACCAGCCATGGTGAACTGATAGTGATACACCCACATGTATGCACATGCACACATGCACACACATGCACATCACATATGCACACACATGCACATCACATATGCACGATTTTCCACATACCAGCGCTGGGTCCGTGATGAGGACCTCCTTGATCACAAACGTGCCGTCGGGCTGCCTGTGGTGAGGTGAGCTGACTTGCAGACACGTGCATAGTAACACCATATCACAGGATCCACATACCAGCTGTGGGTCCGTGATGATGACCTCCTTGATCACAAACTTGCCGTCGGGACGCCTGTGGTGAACTGATGGTGTTACACACAGACATGCACACTCTAGAATCCACATACCAGCTCTAGGATCCACATACCAGCTGTGGGTCCGTGATAATGACCTCCTTGATCACAAAAGTGCCGTCGGGCTGCCTGTGGTGAGGTGAGCTGACATGCAGACACGTGCATAGTAACACCATATCACAGGATCCACATACCAGCTGTGGGTCCGTGATGATGACCTCCTTGACCACAAAAGTGCCGTCGGGCTGCCGAGATTTGATCTTCTTCTTCAACATCCGCACCACCCGCTTCTTCCCCTCCGCACCCACACCTGCCCCTCCTGCTGCCCCCCCTGCTGCCCCTCCTGCTGCTGCTGCTGGAGTGACTTTTCCAGCCTCTTGGTCCTGAATTCAAAGGAGGAGAGGGACGCGGGGGCGGGAGAGGGGAGGGGAGGATAGTTGACTTTTGAATCGACTAAAAAATCTGCTGCTGCTGCTGGAGTGACCTTTCCAGCCTCTTGGTCCTGAATTCAAAGGAGGAGAGAGACAGGGGGGTGGGAGAGGGGAGGATAGAGGAGCAGCGGCAACAAGAGGGGAGGACAGGAGAGGAGAGGGGAGGAGAGAGAGGAGGAAGGGGAGTGGGAATGAATATGAGGCCAATAAACTGTTTCATATGAAAGGATGCAAGGAGGCAGGGAGGCAGGGAGGCAGGGAGGCAGGGAGGCAGGAAGACAAGTACAACCCAAGGAAAACCAAGAAAAGAGCAAAGGATGCACCGCCATTCCTCCTGCCTCACCATTCTTGGCGGGTGCAGTGCTGCTCTCGACTTTTGAGTCGACTCAAAAGTCACAGCCCATGGGAAACCAAGAGATGAGCCAAGCATGCACCACCATTGCCCCTACCTCGCCGTGCTTGGCAGCTGCAGTGCCGCTCTTGTCCCCCCCATCCTCCTTCTTCTCCTTCTCCTTCTCTTTCTCCTTGCTCTTCTCCTTCTCCTTCTTCTTGTCCTTCTTCTTTTTGGTGTTCTCCTTGGGATCATCATCTGCACGCCACCATGCATCCATGCATCCATGCATCCATGCATCCATGCATCCATGCATCCATGCATCCATGCATCCATGCATCCATGCATCCATGCATCCATGCATCCATGCATCCAAACATCCATGCATCCATGCATCCATGCATCCATGCATCCATGCATCCATGCATCCATGCATCCATGCATCCATGCATCCATGCATCCATGCATCCATGCATCCATACATCCATGCATCCACGCCCGCACCGCCCCGCCCGCCCCCGCGCCCGCCCGCCCCAATCCCCATTCCCACCCCCGCGCATCCCCTCCCGCACCTCCACACGCACCCCCACATGCATCCCCCAACCCACACACACAGAGGATGCATGCACATGCACGTATATGTACACACAGACGATGGACAGACGACGCACACACATGTCATCCACGCACACAGGCAGCAACAGATCGATCTGAAAGAGCACAAAGCGCAGAAACAAGCCAGGCCTCCAACATCCTCTCCTCAAGCAACTCATGCTGCAACGATCAATCCACTGGTAACCCGTCTTTGCGAAAGAAACTTCAAAATTTGAAATCTTAAGCAATTCCAGAGCACAGCCAGGGCATTCAACTCAAGCAAACATCCATGGCCACCGCTCCTCACCCACTGCCACCACCCATCACCGCATAAAACCATTCCTGACCCATGTTCCAGCATGCGCCTCAGCGCAGCAGCTTCCGCCTCATCATCTCTTGGACCAAGGCGCGCTCTCGTGGACCAAGGCGCGCTCTCGTGGACCAAGGCGCGCTCTCGTGGACCAAGGCGCGCTCTCGTGGACCAAGGCGCGCTCTCGTGGACCAAGGCGCGCTCTCGTGGACCAAGGCGCGCTCTCGTGGACCAAGGCGCGCTCTCGTGGACCAAGGCGCGCTCTCGTGGACCAAGGCGCGCTCTCGTGGACCAAGGCGCGCTCTCGTGGACCAAGGCGCGCTCTCGTGGACCAAGGCGCGCTCTCGTGGACCAAGGCGCGCTCTCGTGGACCAAGGCGCGCTCTCGTGGACCAAGGCGCGCTCTCGTGGACCAAGGCGCGCTCTCGTGGACCAAGGCGCGCTCTCGTGGACCAAGGCGCGCTCTCGTGGACCAAGGCGCGCTCTCGTGGACCAAGGCGCGCTCTCGTGGACCAAGGCGCGCTCTCGTGGACCAAGGCGCGCTCTCGTGGACCAAGGCGCGCTCTCGTGGACCAAGGCGCGCTCTCGTGGACCAAGGCGCGCTCTCGTGGACCAAGGCGCGCTCTCGTGGACCAAGGCGCGCTCTCGTGGACCAAGGCGCGCTCTCGTGGACCAAGGCGCGCTCTCGTGGACCAAGGCGCGCTCTCGTGGACCAAGGCGCGCTCTCGTGGACCAAGGCGCGCTCTCGTGGACCAAGGCGCGCTCTCGTGGACCAAGGCGCGCTCTCGTGGACCAAGGCGCGCTCTCGTGGACCAAGGCGCGCTCTCGTGGACCAAGGCGCGCTCTCGTGGACCAAGGCGCGCTCTCGTGGACCAAGGCGCGCTCTCGTGGACCAAGGCGCGCTCTCGTGGACCAAGGCGCGCTCTCGTGGACCAAGGCGCGCTCTCGTGGACCAAGGCGCGCTCTCGTGGACCAAGGCGCGCTCTCGTGGACCAAGGCGCGCTCTCGTGGACCAAGGCGCGCTCTCGTGGACCAAGGCGCGCTCTCGTGGACCAAGGCGCGCTCTCGTGGACCAAGGCGCGCTCTCGTGGACCAAGGCGCGCTCTCGTGGACCAAGGCGCGCTCTCGTGGACCAAGGCGCGCTCTCGTGGACCAAGGCGCGCTCTCGTGGACCAAGGCGCGCTCTCGTGGACCAAGGCGCGCTCTCGTGGACCAAGGCGCGCTCTCGTGGACCAAGGCGCGCTCTCGTGGACCAAGGCGCGCTCTCGTGGACCAAGGCGCGCTCTCGTGGACCAAGGCGCGCTCTCGTGGACCAAGGCGCGCTCTCGTGGACCAAGGCGCGCTCTCGTGGACCAAGGCGCGCTCTCGTGGACCAAGGCGCGCTCTCGTGGACCAAGGCGCGCTCTCGTGGACCAAGGCGCGCTCTCGTGGACCAAGGCGCGCTCTCGTGGACCAAGGCGCGCTCTCGTGGACCAAGGCGCGCTCTCGTGGACCAAGGCGCGCTCTCGTGGACCAAGGCGCGCTCTCGTGGACCAAGGCGCGCTCTCGTGGACCAAGGCGCGCTCTCGTGGACCAAGGCGCGCTCTCGTGGACCAAGGCGCGCTCTCGTGGACCAAGGCGCGCTCTCGTGGACCAAGGCGCGCTCTCGTGGACCAAGGCGCGCTCTCGTGGACCAAGGCGCGCTCTCGTGGACCAAGGCGCGCTCTCGTGGACCAAGGCGCGCTCTCGTGGACCAAGGCGCGCTCTCGTGGACCAAGGCGCGCTCTCGTGGACCAAGGCGCGCTCTCGTGGACCAAGGCGCGCTCTCGTGGACCAAGGCGCGCTCTCGTGGACCAAGGCGCGCTCTCGTGGACCAAGGCGCGCTCTCGTGGACCAAGGCGCGCTCTCGTGGACCAAGGCGCGCTCTCGTGGACCAAGGCGCGCTCTCGTGGACCAAGGCGCGCTCTCGTGGACCAAGGCGCGCTCTCGTGGACCAAGGCGCGCTCTCGTGGACCAAGGCGCGCTCTCGTGGACCAAGGCGCGCTCTCGTGGACCAAGGCGCGCTCTCGTGGACCAAGGCGCGCTCTCGTGGACCAAGGCGCGCTCTCGTGGACCAAGGCGCGCTCTCGTGGACCAAGGCGCGCTCTCGTGGACCAAGGCGCGCTCTCGTGGACCAAGGCGCGCTCTCGTGGACCAAGGCGCGCTCTCGTGGACCAAGGCGCGCTCTCGTGGACCAAGGCGCGCTCTCGTGGACCAAGGCGCGCTCTCGTGGACCAAGGCGCGCTCTCGTGGACCAAGGCGCGCTCTCGTGGACCAAGGCGCGCTCTCGTGGACCAAGGCGCGCTCTCGTGGACCAAGGCGCGCTCTCGTGGACCAAGGCGCGCTCTCGTGGACCAAGGCGCGCTCTCGTGGACCAAGGCGCGCTCTCGTGGACCAAGGCGCGCTCTCGTGGACCAAGGCGCGCTCTCGTGGACCAAGGCGCGCTCTCGTGGACCAAGGCGCGCTCTCGTGGACCAAGGCGCGCTCTCGTGGACCAAGGCGCGCTCTCGTGGACCAAGGCGCGCTCTCGTGGACCAAGGCGCGCTCTCGTGGACCAAGGCGCGCTCTCGTGGACCAAGGCGCGCTCTCGTGGACCAAGGCGCGCTCTCGTGGACCAAGGCGCGCTCTCGTGGACCAAGGCGCGCTCTCGTGGACCAAGGCGCGCTCTCGTGGACCAAGGCGCGCTCTCGTGGACCAAGGCGCGCTCTCGTGGACCAAGGCGCGCTCTCGTGGACCAAGGCGCGCTCTCGTGGACCAAGGCGCGCTCTCGTGGACCAAGGCGCGCTCTCGTGGACCAAGGCGCGCTCTCGTGGACCAAGGCGCGCTCTCGTGGACCAAGGCGCGCTCTCGTGGACCAAGGCGCGCTCTCGTGGACCAAGGCGCGCTCTCGTGGACCAAGGCGCGCTCTCGTGGACCAAGGCGCGCTCTCGTGGACCAAGGCGCGCTCTCGTGGACCAAGGCGCGCTCTCGTGGACCAAGGCGCGCTCTCGTGGACCAAGGCGCGCTCTCGTGGACCAAGGCGCGCTCTCGTGGACCAAGGCGCGCTCTCGTGGACCAAGGCGCGCTCTCGTGGACCAAGGCGCGCTCTCGTGGACCAAGGCGCGCTCTCGTGGACCAAGGCGCGCTCTCGTGGACCAAGGCGCGCTCTCGTGGACCAAGGCGCGCTCTCGTGGACCAAGGCGCGCTCTCGTGGACCAAGGCGCGCTCTCGTGGACCAAGGCGCGCTCTCGTGGACCAAGGCGCGCTCTCGTGGACCAAGGCGCGCTCTCGTGGACCAAGGCGCGCTCTCGTGGACCAAGGCGCGCTCTCGTGGACCAAGGCGCGCTCTCGTGGACCAAGGCGCGCTCTCGTGGACCAAGGCGCGCTCTCGTGGACCAAGGCGCGCTCTCGTGGACCAAGGCGCGCTCTCGTGGACCAAGGCGCGCTCTCGTGGACCAAGGCGCGCTCTCGTGGACCAAGGCGCGCTCTCGTGGACCAAGGCGCGCTCTCGTGGACCAAGGCGCGCTCTCGTGGACCAAGGCGCGCTCTCGTGGACCAAGGCGCGCTCTCGTGGACCAAGGCGCGCTCTCGTGGACCAAGGCGCGCTCTCGTGGACCAAGGCGCGCTCTCGTGGACCAAGGCGCGCTCTCGTGGACCAAGGCGCGCTCTCGTGGACCAAGGCGCGCTCTCGTGGACCAAGGCGCGCTCTCGTGGACCAAGGCGCGCTCTCGTGGACCAAGGCGCGCTCTCGTGGACCAAGGCGCGCTCTCGTGGACCAAGGCGCGCTCTCGTGGACCAAGGCGCGCTCTCGTGGACCAAGGCGCGCTCTCGTGGACCAAGGCGCGCTCTCGTGGACCAAGGCGCGCTCTCGTGGACCAAGGCGCGCTCTCGTGGACCAAGGCGCGCTCGTGGACCAAGGCGCGCTCTCGTGGACCAAGGCGCGCTCTCGTGGACCAAGGCGCGCTCTCGTGGACCAAGGCGCGCTCTCGTGGACCAAGGCGCGCTCTCGTGGACCAAGGCGCGCTCTCGTGGACCAAGGCGCGCTCTCGTGGACCAAGGCGCGCTCTCGTGGACCAAGGCGCGCTCTCGTGGACCAAGGCGCGCTCTCGTGGACCAAGGCGCGCTCTCGTGGACCAAGGCGCGCTCTCGTGGACCAAGGCGCGCTCTCGTGGACCAAGGCGCGCTCTCGTGGACCAAGGCGCGCTCTCGTGGACCAAGGCGCGCTCTCGTGGACCAAGGCGCGCTCTCGTGGACCAAGGCGCGCTCTCGTGGACCAAGGCGCGCTCTCGTGGACCAAGGCGCGCTCTCGTGGACCAAGGCGCGCTCTCGTGGACCAAGGCGCGCTCTCGTGGACCAAGGCGCGCTCTCGTGGACCAAGGCGCGCTCTCGTGGACCAAGGCGCGCTCTCGTGGACCAAGGCGCGCTCTCGTGGACCAAGGCGCGCTCTCGTGGACCAAGGCGCGCTCTCGTGGACCAAGGCGCGCTCTCGTGGACCAAGGCGCGCTCTCGTGGACCAAGGCGCGCTCTCGTGGACCAAGGCGCGCTCTCGTGGACCAAGGCGCGCTCTCGTGGACCAAGGCGCGCTCTCGTGGACCAAGGCGCGCTCTCGTGGACCAAGGCGCGCTCTCGTGGACCAAGGCGCGCTCTCGTGGACCAAGGCGCGCTCTCGTGGACCAAGGCGCGCTCTCGTGGACCAAGGCGCGCTCTCGTGGACCAAGGCGCGCTCTCGTGGACCAAGGCGCGCTCTCGTGGACCAAGGCGCGCTCTCGTGGACCAAGGCGCGCTCTCGTGGACCAAGGCGCGCTCTCGTGGACCAAGGCGCGCTCTCGTGGACCAAGGCGCGCTCTCGTGGACCAAGGCGCGCTCTCGTGGACCAAGGCGCGCTCTCGTGGACCAAGGCGCGCTCTCGTGGACCAAGGCGCGCTCTCGTGGACCAAGGCGCGCTCTCGTGGACCAAGGCGCGCTCTCGTGGACCAAGGCGCGCTCTCGTGGACCAAGGCGCGCTCTCGTGGACCAAGGCGCGCTCTCGTGGACCAAGGCGCGCTCTCGTGGACCAAGGCGCGCTCTCGTGGACCAAGGCGCGCTCTCGTGGACCAAGGCGCGCTCTCGTGGACCAAGGCGCGCTCTCGTGGACCAAGGCGCGCTCTCGTGGACCAAGGCGCGCTCTCGTGGACCAAGGCGCGCTCTCGTGGACCAAGGCGCGCTCTCGTGGACCAAGGCGCGCTCTCGTGGACCAAGGCGCGCTCTCGTGGACCAAGGCGCGCTCTCGTGGACCAAGGCGCGCTCTCGTGGACCAAGGCGCGCTCTCGTGGACCAAGGCGCGCTCTCGTGGACCAAGGCGCGCTCTCGTGGACCAAGGCGCGCTCTCGTGGACCAAGGCGCGCTCTCGTGGACCAAGGCGCGCTCTCGTGGACCAAGGCGCGCTCTCGTGGACCAAGGCGCGCTCTCGTGGACCAAGGCGCGCTCTCGTGGACCAAGGCGCGCTCTCGTGGACCAAGGCGCGCTCTCGTGGACCAAGGCGCGCTCTCGTGGACCAAGGCGCGCTCTCGTGGACCAAGGCGCGCTCTCGTGGACCAAGGCGCGCTCTCGTGGACCAAGGCGCGCTCTCGTGGACCAAGGCGCGCTCTCGTGGACCAAGGCGCGCTCTCGTGGACCAAGGCGCGCTCTCGTGGACCAAGGCGCGCTCTCGTGGACCAAGGCGCGCTCTCGTGGACCAAGGCGCGCTCTCGTGGACCAAGGCGCGCTCTCGTGGACCAAGGCGCGCTCTCGTGGACCAAGGCGCGCTCTCGTGGACCAAGGCGCGCTCTCGTGGACCAAGGCGCGCTCTCGTGGACCAAGGCGCGCTCTCGTGGACCAAGGCGCGCTCTCGTGGACCAAGGCGCGCTCTCGTGGACCAAGGCGCGCTCTCGTGGACCAAGGCGCGCTCTCGTGGACCAAGGCGCGCTCTCGTGGACCAAGGCGCGCTCTCGTGGACCAAGGCGCGCTCTCGTGGACCAAGGCGCGCTCTCGTGGACCAAGGCGCGCTCTCGTGGACCAAGGCGCGCTCTCGTGGACCAAGGCGCGCTCTCGTGGACCAAGGCGCGCTCTCGTGGACCAAGGCGCGCTCTCGTGGACCAAGGCGCGCTCTCGTGGACCAAGGCGCGCTCTCGTGGACCAAGGCGCGCTCTCGTGGACCAAGGCGCGCTCTCGTGGACCAAGGCGCGCTCTCGTGGACCAAGGCGCGCTCTCGTGGACCAAGGCGCGCTCTCGTGGACCAAGGCGCGCTCTCGTGGACCAAGGCGCGCTCTCGTGGACCAAGGCGCGCTCTCGTGGACCAAGGCGCGCTCTCGTGGACCAAGGCGCGCTCTCGTGGACCAAGGCGCGCTCTCGTGGACCAAGGCGCGCTCTCGTGGACCAAGGCGCGCTCTCGTGGACCAAGGCGCGCTCTCGTGGACCAAGGCGCGCTCTCGTGGACCAAGGCGCGCTCTCGTGGACCAAGGCGCGCTCTCGTGGACCAAGGCGCGCTCTCGTGGACCAAGGCGCGCTCTCGTGGACCAAGGCGCGCTCTCGTGGACCAAGGCGCGCTCTCGTGGACCAAGGCGCGCTCTCGTGGACCAAGGCGCGCTCTCGTGGACCAAGGCGCGCTCTCGTGGACCAAGGCGCGCTCTCGTGGACCAAGGCGCGCTCTCGTGGACCAAGGCGCGCTCTCGTGGACCAAGGCGCGCTCTCGTGGACCAAGGCGCGCTCTCGTGGACCAAGGCGCGCTCTCGTGGACCAAGGCGCGCTCTCGTGGACCAAGGCGCGCTCTCGTGGACCAAGGCGCGCTCTCGTGGACCAAGGCGCGCTCTCGTGGACCAAGGCGCGCTCTCGTGGACCAAGGCGCGCTCTCGTGGACCAAGGCGCGCTCTCGTGGACCAAGGCGCGCTCTCGTGGACCAAGGCGCGCTCTCGTGGACCAAGGCGCGCTCTCGTGGACCAAGGCGCGCTCTCGTGGACCAAGGCGCGCTCTCGTGGACCAAGGCGCGCTCTCGTGGACCAAGGCGCGCTCTCGTGGACCAAGGCGCGCTCTCGTGGACCAAGGCGCGCTCTCGTGGACCAAGGGCGGACTCGTGGACCAAGGCGCGCTCTCGTGGACCAAGGCGCGCTCTCGTGGACCAAGGCGCGCTCTCGTGGACCAAGGCGCGCTCTCGTGGACCAAGGCGCGCTCTCGTGGACCAAGGCGCGCTCTCGTGGACCAAGGCGCGCTCTCGTGGACCAAGGCGCGCTCTCGTGGACCAAGGCGCGCTCTCGTGGACCAAGGCGCGCTCTCGTGGACCAAGGCGCGCTCTCGTGGACCAAGGCGCGCTCTCGTGGACCAAGGCGCGCTCTCGTGGACCAAGGCGCGCTCTCGTGGACCAAGGCGCGCTCTCGTGGACCAAGGCGCGCTCTCGTGGACCAAGGCGCGCTCTCGTGGACCAAGGCGCGCTCTCGTGGACCAAGGCGCGCTCTCGTGGACCAAGGCGCGCTCTCGTGGACCAAGGCGCGCTCTCGTGGACCAAGGCGCGCTCTCGTGGACCAAGGCGCGCTCTCGTGGACCAAGGCGCGCTCTCGTGGACCAAGGCGCGCTCTCGTGGACCAAGGCGCGCTCTCGTGGACCAAGGCGCGCTCTCGTGGACCAAGGCGCGCTCTCGTGGACCAAGGCGCGCTCTCGTGGACCAAGGCGCGCTCTCGTGGACCAAGGCGCGCTCTCGTGGACCAAGGCGCGCTCTCGTGGACCAAGGCGCGCTCTCGTGGACCAAGGCGCGCTCTCGTGGACCAAGGCGCGCTCTCGTGGACCAAGGCGCGCTCTCGTGGACCAAGGCGCGCTCGTGGACCAAGGCGCGCTCTCGTGGACCAAGGCGCGCTCTCGTGGACCAAGGCGCGCTCTCGTGGACCAAGGCGCGCTCTCGTGGACCAAGGCGCGCTCTCGTGGACCAAGGCGCGCTCTCGTGGACCAAGGCGCGCTCTCGTGGACCAAGGCGCGCTCTCGTGGACCAAGGCGCGCTCTCGTGGACCAAGGCGCGCTCTCGTGGACCAAGGCGCGCTCTCGTGGACCAAGGCGCGCTCGTGGACCAAGGCGCGCTCTCGTGGACCAAGGCGCGCTCTCGTGGACCAAGGCGCGCTCTCGTGGACCAAGGCGCGCTCTCGTGGACCAAGGCGCGCTCTCGTGGACCAAGGCGCGCTCTCGTGGACCAAGGCGCGCTCTCGTGGACCAAGGCGCGCTCTCGTGGACCAAGGCGCGCTCTCGTGGACCAAGGCGCGCTCTCGTGGACCAAGGCGCGCTCTCGTGGACCAAGGCGCGCTCTCGTGGACCAAGGCGCGCTCTCGTGGACCAAGGCGCGCTCTCGTGGACCAAGGCGCGCTCTCGTGGACCAAGGCGCGCTCTCGTGGACCAAGGCGCGCTCTCGTGGACCAAGGCGCGCTCTCGTGGACCAAGGCGCGCTCTCGTGGACCAAGGCGCGCTCTCGTGGACCAAGGCGCGCTCTCGTGGACCAAGGCGCGCTCTCGTGGACCAAGGCGCGCTCTCGTGGACCAAGGCGCGCTCTCGTGGACCAAGGCGCGCTCTCGTGGACCAAGGCGCGCTCTCGTGGACCAAGGCGCGCTCTCGTGGACCAAGGCGCGCTCTCGTGGACCAAGGCGCGCTCTCGTGGACCAAGGCGCGCTCTCGTGGACCAAGGCGCGCTCTCGTGGACCAAGGCGCGCTCTCGTGGACCAAGGCGCGCTCTCGTGGACCAAGGCGCGCTCTCGTGGACCAAGGCGCGCTCTCGTGGACCAAGGCGCGCTCTCGTGGACCAAGGCGCGCTCTCGTGGACCAAGGCGCGCTCTCGTGGACCAAGGCGCGCTCTCGTGGACCAAGGCGCGCTCTCGTGGACCAAGGCGCGCTCTCGTGGACCAAGGCGCGCTCTCGTGGACCAAGGCGCGCTCTCGTGGACCAAGGCGCGCTCTCGTGGACCAAGGCGCGCTCTCGTGGACCAAGGCGCGCTCTCGTGGACCAAGGCGCGCTCTCGTGGACCAAGGCGCGCTCTCGTGGACCAAGGCGCGCTCTCGTGGACCAAGGCGCGCTCTCGTGGACCAAGGCGCGCTCTCGTGGACCAAGGCGCGCTCTCGTGGACCAAGGCGCGCTCTCGTGGACCAAGGCGCGCTCTCGTGGACCAAGGCGCGCTCTCGTGGACCAAGGCGCGCTCTCGTGGACCAAGGCGCGCTCTCGTGGACCAAGGCGCGCTCTCGTGGACCAAGGCGCGCTCTCGTGGACCAAGGCGCGCTCTCGTGGACCAAGGCGCGCTCTCGTGGACCAAGGCGCGCTCTCGTGGACCAAGGCGCGCTCTCGTGGACCAAGGCGCGCTCTCGTGGACCAAGGCGCGCTCTCGTGGACCAAGGCGCGCTCTCGTGGACCAAGGCGCGCTCTCGTGGACCAAGGCGCGCTCTCGTGGACCAAGGCGCGCTCTCGTGGACCAAGGCGCGCTCTCGTGGACCAAGGCGCGCTCTCGTGGACCAAGGCGCGCTCTCGTGGACCAAGGCGCGCTCTCGTGGACCAAGGCGCGCTCTCGTGGACCAAGGCGCGCTCTCGTGGACCAAGGCGCGCTCTCGTGGACCAAGGCGCGCTCTCGTGGACCAAGGCGCGCTCTCGTGGACCAAGGCGCGCTCTCGTGGACCAAGGCGCGCTCTCGTGGACCAAGGCGCGCTCTCGTGGACCAAGGCGCGCTCTCGTGGACCAAGGCGCGCTCTCGTGGACCAAGGCGCGCTCTCGTGGACCAAGGCGCGCTCTCGTGGACCAAGGCGCGCTCTCGTGGACCAAGGCGCGCTCTCGTGGACCAAGGCGCGCTCTCGTGGACCAAGGCGCGCTCTCGTGGACCAAGGCGCGCTCTCGTGGACCAAGGCGCGCTCTCGTGGACCAAGGCGCGCTCTCGTGGACCAAGGCGCGCTCTCGTGGACCAAGGCGCGCTCTCGTGGACCAAGGCGCGCTCTCGTGGACCAAGGCGCGCTCTCGTGGACCAAGGCGCGCTCTCGTGGACCAAGGCGCGCTCTCGTGGACCAAGGCGCGCTCTCGTGGACCAAGGCGCGCTCTCGTGGACCAAGGCGCGCTCTCGTGGACCAAGGCGCGCTCTCGTGGACCAAGGCGCGCTCTCGTGGACCAAGGCGCGCTCTCGTGGACCAAGGCGCGCTCTCGTGGACCAAGGCGCGCTCTCGTGGACCAAGGCGCGCTCTCGTGGACCAAGGCGCGCTCTCGTGGACCAAGGCGCGCTCTCGTGGACCAAGGCGCGCTCTCGTGGACCAAGGCGCGCTCTCGTGGACCAAGGCGCGCTCTCGTGGACCAAGGCGCGCTCTCGTGGACCAAGGCGCGCTCTCGTGGACCAAGGCGCGCTCTCGTGGACCAAGGCGCGCTCTCGTGGACCAAGGCGCGCTCTCGTGGACCAAGGCGCGCTCTCGTGGACCAAGGCGCGCTCTCGTGGACCAAGGCGCGCTCTCGTGGACCAAGGCGCGCTCTCGTGGACCAAGGCGCGCTCTCGTGGACCAAGGCGCGCTCTCGTGGACCAAGGCGCGCTCTCGTGGACCAAGGCGCGCTCTCGTGGACCAAGGCGCGCTCTCGTGGACCAAGGCGCGCTCTCGTGGACCAAGGCGCGCTCTCGTGGACCAAGGCGCGCTCTCGTGGACCAAGGCGCGCTCTCGTGGACCAAGGCGCGCTCTCGTGGACCAAGGCGCGCTCTCGTGGACCAAGGCGCGCTCTCGTGGACCAAGGCGCGCTCTCGTGGACCAAGGCGCGCTCTCGTGGACCAAGGCGCGCTCTCGTGGACCAAGGCGCGCTCTCGTGGACCAAGGCGCGCTCTCGTGGACCAAGGCGCGCTCTCGTGGACCAAGGCGCGCTCTCGTGGACCAAGGCGCGCTCTCGTGGACCAAGGCGCGCTCTCGTGGACCAAGGCGCGCTCTCGTGGACCAAGGCGCGCTCTCGTGGACCAAGGCGCGCTCTCGTGGACCAAGGCGCGCTCTCGTGGACCAAGGCGCGCTCTCGTGGACCAAGGCGCGCTCTCGTGGACCAAGGCGCGCTCTCGTGGACCAAGGCGCGCTCTCGTGGACCAAGGCGCGCTCTCGTGGACCAAGGCGCGCTCTCGTGGACCAAGGCGCGCTCTCGTGGACCAAGGCGCGCTCTCGTGGACCAAGGCGCGCTCTCGTGGACCAAGGCGCGCTCTCGTGGACCAAGGCGCGCTCTCGTGGACCAAGGCGCGCTCTCGTGGACCAAGGCGCGCTCTCGTGGACCAAGGCGCGCTCTCGTGGACCAAGGCGCGCTCTCGTGGACCAAGGCGCGCTCTCGTGGACCAAGGCGCGCTCTCGTGGACCAAGGCGCGCTCTCGTGGACCAAGGCGCGCTCTCGTGGACCAAGGCGCGCTCTCGTGGACCAAGGCGCGCTCTCGTGGACCAAGGCGCGCTCTCGTGGACCAAGGCGCGCTCTCGTGGACCAAGGCGGACTCGTGGACCAAGGCGCGCTCTCGTGGACCAAGGCGCGCTCTCGTGGACCAAGGCGCGCTCTCGTGGACCAAGGCGCGCTCTCGTGGACCAAGGCGCGCTCTCGTGGACCAAGGCGCGCTCTCGTGGACCAAGGCGCGCTCTCGTGGACCAAGGCGCGCTCTCGTGGACCAAGGCGCGCTCTCGTGGACCAAGGCGCGCTCTCGTGGACCAAGGCGCGCTCTCGTGGACCAAGGCGCGCTCTCGTGGACCAAGGCGCGCTCTCGTGGACCAAGGCGCGCTCTCGTGGACCAAGGCGCGCTCTCGTGGACCAAGGCGCGCTCTCGTGGACCAAGGCGCGCTCTCGTGGACCAAGGCGCGCTCTCGTGGACCAAGGCGCGCTCTCGTGGACCAAGGCGCGCTCTCGTGGACCAAGGCGCGCTCTCGTGGACCAAGGCGCGCTCTCGTGGACCAAGGCGCGCTCTCGTGGACCAAGGCGCGCTCTCGTGGACCAAGGCGCGCTCTCGTGGACCAAGGCGCGCTCTCGTGGACCAAGGCGCGCTCTCGTGGACCAAGGCGCGCTCTCGTGGACCAAGGCGCGCTCTCGTGGACCAAGGCGCGCTCTCGTGGACCAAGGCGCGCTCTCGTGGACCAAGGCGCGCTCTCGTGGACCAAGGCGCGCTCTCGTGGACCAAGGCGCGCTCTCGTGGACCAAGGCGCGCTCTCGTGGACCAAGGCGCGCTCTCGTGGACCAAGGCGCGCTCTCGTGGACCAAGGCGCGCTCTCGTGGACCAAGGCGCGCTCTCGTGGACCAAGGCGCGCTCTCGTGGACCAAGGCGCGCTCTCGTGGACCAAGGCGCGCTCTCGTGGACCAAGGCGCGCTCTCGTGGACCAAGGCGCGCTCTCGTGGACCAAGGCGCGCTCTCGTGGACCAAGGCGCGCTCTCGTGGACCAAGGCGCGCTCTCGTGGACCAAGGCGCGCTCTCGTGGACCAAGGCGCGCTCTCGTGGACCAAGGCGCGCTCTCGTGGACCAAGGCGCGCTCTCGTGGACCAAGGCGCGCTCTCGTGGACCAAGGCGCGCTCTCGTGGACCAAGGCGCGCTCTCGTGGACCAAGGCGCGCTCTCGTGGACCAAGGCGCGGACTCGTGGACCAAGGCGCGCTCGTGGACCAAGGCGCGCTCTCGTGGACCAAGGCGCGCTCTCGTGGACCAAGGCGCGCTCTCGTGGACCAAGGCGCGCTCTCGTGGACCAAGGCGCGCTCTCGTGGACCAAGGCGCGCTCTCGTGGACCAAGGCGCGCTCTCGTGGACCAAGGCGCGCTCTCGTGGACCAAGGCGCGCTCTCGTGGACCAAGGCGCGCTCTCGTGGACCAAGGCGCGCTCTCGTGGACCAAGGCGCGCTCTCGTGGACCAAGGCGCGGACTCGTGGACCAAGGCGCGCTCGTGGACCAAGGCGCGCTCTCGTGGACCAAGGCGCGCTCTCGTGGACCAAGGCGCGCTCTCGTGGACCAAGGCGCGCTCTCGTGGACCAAGGCGCGCTCTCGTGGACCAAGGCGCGCTCTCGTGGACCAAGGCGCGCTCTCGTGGACCAAGGCGCGCTCTCGTGGACCAAGGCGCGCTCTCGTGGACCAAGGCGCGCTCTCGTGGACCAAGGCGCGCTCTCGTGGACCAAGGCGCGCTCTCGTGGACCAAGGCGCGCTCTCGTGGACCAAGGCGCGCTCTCGTGGACCAAGGCGCGCTCTCGTGGACCAAGGCGCGCTCTCGTGGACCAAGGCGCGCTCTCGTGGACCAAGGCGCGCTCTCGTGGACCAAGGCGCGCTCTCGTGGACCAAGGCGCGCTCTCGTGGACCAAGGCGCGCTCTCGTGGACCAAGGCGCGCTCTCGTGGACCAAGGCGCGCTCTCGTGGACCAAGGCGCGCTCTCGTGGACCAAGGCGCGCTCTCGTGGACCAAGGCGCGCTCTCGTGGACCAAGGCGCGCTCTCGTGGACCAAGGCGCGCTCTCGTGGACCAAGGCGCGCTCTCGTGGACCAAGGCGCGCTCTCGTGGACCAAGGCGCGCTCTCGTGGACCAAGGCGCGCTCTCGTGGACCAAGGCGCGCTCTCGTGGACCAAGGCGCGCTCTCGTGGACCAAGGCGCGCTCTCGTGGACCAAGGCGCGCTCTCGTGGACCAAGGCGCGCTCTCGTGGACCAAGGCGCGCTCTCGTGGACCAAGGCGCGCTCTCGTGGACCAAGGCGCGCTCTCGTGGACCAAGGCGCGCTCTCGTGGACCAAGGCGCGCTCTCGTGGACCAAGGCGCGCTCTCGTGGACCAAGGCGCGCTCTCGTGGACCAAGGCGCGCTCTCGTGGACCAAGGCGCGCTCTCGTGGACCAAGGCGCGCTCTCGTGGACCAAGGCGCGCTCTCGTGGACCAAGGCGCGCTCTCGTGGACCAAGGCGCGCTCTCGTGGACCAAGGCGCGCTCTCGTGGACCAAGGCGCGCTCTCGTGGACCAAGGCGCGCTCTCGTGGACCAAGGCGCGCTCTCGTGGACCAAGGCGCGCTCTCGTGGACCAAGGCGCGCTCTCGTGGACCAAGGCGCGCTCTCGTGGACCAAGGCGCGCTCTCGTGGACCAAGGCGCGCTCTCGTGGACCAAGGCGCGCTCTCGTGGACCAAGGCGCGCTCTCGTGGACCAAGGCGCGCTCTCGTGGACCAAGGCGCGCTCTCGTGGACCAAGGCGCGCTCTCGTGGACCAAGGGCGGACTCGTGGACCAAGGCGCGCTCGTGGACCAAGGCGCGCTCTCGTGGACCAAGGCGCGCTCTCGTGGACCAAGGCGCGCTCTCGTGGACCAAGGCGCGCTCTCGTGGACCAAGGCGCGCTCTCGTGGACCAAGGCGCGCTCTCGTGGACCAAGGCGCGCTCTCGTGGACCAAGGCGCGCTCTCGTGGACCAAGGCGCGCTCTCGTGGACCAAGGCGCGCTCTCGTGGACCAAGGCGCGCTCTCGTGGACCAAGGCGCGCTCTCGTGGACCAAGGCGCGCTCTCGTGGACCAAGGCGCGCTCTCGTGGACCAAGGCGCGCTCTCGTGGACCAAGGCGCGCTCTCGTGGACCAAGGCGCGCTCTCGTGGACCAAGGCGCGCTCTCGTGGACCAAGGCGCGCTCTCGTGGACCAAGGCGCGCTCTCGTGGACCAAGGCGCGCTCTCGTGGACCAAGGCGCGCTCTCGTGGACCAAGGCGCGCTCTCGTGGACCAAGGCGCGCTCTCGTGGACCAAGGCGCGCTCTCGTGGACCAAGGCGCGCTCTCGTGGACCAAGGCGCGCTCTCGTGGACCAAGGCGCGCTCTCGTGGACCAAGGCGCGCTCTCGTGGACCAAGGCGCGCTCTCGTGGACCAAGGCGCGCTCTCGTGGACCAAGGCGCGCTCTCGTGGACCAAGGCGCGCTCTCGTGGACCAAGGCGCGCTCTCGTGGACCAAGGCGCGCTCTCGTGGACCAAGGCGCGCTCTCGTGGACCAAGGCGCGCTCTCGTGGACCAAGGCGCGCTCTCGTGGACCAAGGCGCGCTCTCGTGGACCAAGGCGCGCTCTCGTGGACCAAGGCGCGCTCTCGTGGACCAAGGCGCGCTCTCGTGGACCAAGGCGCGCTCTCGTGGACCAAGGCGCGCTCTCGTGGACCAAGGCGCGCTCTCGTGGACCAAGGCGCGCTCTCGTGGACCAAGGCGCGCTCTCGTGGACCAAGGCGCGCTCTCGTGGACCAAGGCGCGCTCTCGTGGACCAAGGCGCGCTCTCGTGGACCAAGGCGCGCTCTCGTGGACCAAGGCGCGCTCTCGTGGACCAAGGCGCGCTCTCGTGGACCAAGGCGCGCTCTCGTGGACCAAGGCGCGCTCTCGTGGACCAAGGCGCGCTCTCGTGGACCAAGGCGCGCTCTCGTGGACCAAGGCGCGCTCTCGTGGACCAAGGCGCGCTCTCGTGGACCAAGGCGCGCTCTCGTGGACCAAGGCGCGCTCTCGTGGACCAAGGCGCGCTCTCGTGGACCAAGGCGCGCTCTCGTGGACCAAGGCGCGCTCTCGTGGACCAAGGCGCGCTCTCGTGGACCAAGGCGCGCTCTCGTGGACCAAGGCGCGCTCTCGTGGACCAAGGCGCGCTCTCGTGGACCAAGGCGCGCTCTCGTGGACCAAGGCGCGCTCTCGTGGACCAAGGCGCGCTCTCGTGGACCAAGGCGCGCTCTCGTGGACCAAGGCGCGCTCTCGTGGACCAAGGCGCGCTCTCGTGGACCAAGGCGCGCTCTCGTGGACCAAGGCGCGCTCTCGTGGACCAAGGCGCGCTCTCGTGGACCAAGGCGCGCTCTCGTGGACCAAGGCGCGCTCTCGTGGACCAAGGCGCGCTCTCGTGGACCAAGGCGCGCTCTCGTGGACCAAGGCGCGCTCTCGTGGACCAAGGCGCGCTCTCGTGGACCAAGGCGCGCTCTCGTGGACCAAGGCGCGCTCTCGTGGACCAAGGCGCGCTCTCGTGGACCAAGGCGCGCTCTCGTGGACCAAGGCGCGCTCTCGTGGACCAAGGCGCGCTCTCGTGGACCAAGGCGCGCTCTCGTGGACCAAGGCGCGCTCTCGTGGACCAAGGCGCGCTCTCGTGGACCAAGGCGCGCTCTCGTGGACCAAGGCGCGCTCTCGTGGACCAAGGCGCGCTCTCGTGGACCAAGGCGCGCTCTCGTGGACCAAGGCGCGCTCTCGTGGACCAAGGCGCGCTCTCGTGGACCAAGGCGCGCTCTCGTGGACCAAGGCGCGCTCTCGTGGACCAAGGCGCGCTCTCGTGGACCAAGGCGCGCTCTCGTGGACCAAGGCGCGCTCTCGTGGACCAAGGCGCGCTCTCGTGGACCAAGGCGCGCTCTCGTGGACCAAGGCGCGCTCTCGTGGACCAAGGCGCGCTCTCGTGGACCAAGGCGCGCTCTCGTGGACCAAGGCGCGCTCTCGTGGACCAAGGCGCGCTCTCGTGGACCAAGGCGCGCTCTCGTGGACCAAGGCGCGCTCTCGTGGACCAAGGCGCGCTCTCGTGGACCAAGGCGCGCTCTCGTGGACCAAGGCGCGCTCTCGTGGACCAAGGCGCGCTCTCGTGGACCAAGGCGCGCTCTCGTGGACCAAGGCGCGCTCTCGTGGACCAAGGCGCGCTCTCGTGGACCAAGGCGCGCTCTCGTGGACCAAGGCGCGCTCTCGTGGACCAAGGCGCGCTCTCGTGGACCAAGGCGCGCTCTCGTGGACCAAGGCGCGCTCTCGTGGACCAAGGCGCGCTCTCGTGGACCAAGGCGCGCTCTCGTGGACCAAGGCGCGCTCTCGTGGACCAAGGCGCGCTCTCGTGGACCAAGGCGCGCTCTCGTGGACCAAGGCGCGCTCTCGTGGACCAAGGCGCGCTCTCGTGGACCAAGGCGCGCTCTCGTGGACCAAGGCGCGCTCTCGTGGACCAAGGCGCGCTCTCGTGGACCAAGGCGCGCTCTCGTGGACCAAGGCGCGCTCTCGTGGACCAAGGCGCGCTCTCGTGGACCAAGGCGCGCTCTCGTGGACCAAGGCGCGCTCTCGTGGACCAAGGCGCGCTCTCGTGGACCAAGGCGCGCTCTCGTGGACCAAGGCGCGCTCTCGTGGACCAAGGCGCGCTCTCGTGGACCAAGGCGCGCTCTCGTGGACCAAGGCGCGCTCTCGTGGACCAAGGCGCGCTCTCGTGGACCAAGGCGCGCTCTCGTGGACCAAGGCGCGCTCTCGTGGACCAAGGCGCGCTCTCGTGGACCAAGGCGCGCTCTCGTGGACCAAGGCGCGCTCTCGTGGACCAAGGCGCGCTCTCGTGGACCAAGGCGCGCTCTCGTGGACCAAGGCGCGCTCTCGTGGACCAAGGCGCGCTCTCGTGGACCAAGGCGCGCTCTCGTGGACCAAGGCGCGCTCTCGTGGACCAAGGCGCGCTCTCGTGGACCAAGGCGCGCTCTCGTGGACCAAGGCGCGCTCTCGTGGACCAAGGCGCGCTCTCGTGGACCAAGGCGCGCTCTCGTGGACCAAGGCGCGCTCTCGTGGACCAAGGCGCGCTCTCGTGGACCAAGGCGCGCTCTCGTGGACCAAGGCGCGCTCTCGTGGACCAAGGCGCGCTCTCGTGGACCAAGGCGCGCTCTCGTGGACCAAGGCGCGCTCTCGTGGACCAAGGCGCGCTCTCGTGGACCAAGGCGCGCTCTCGTGGACCAAGGCGCGCTCTCGTGGACCAAGGCGCGCTCTCGTGGACCAAGGCGCGCTCTCGTGGACCAAGGCGCGCTCTCGTGGACCAAGGGCGGACTCGTGGACCAAGGCGCGCTCTCGTGGACCAAGGCGCGCTCTCGTGGACCAAGGCGCGCTCTCGTGGACCAAGGCGCGCTCTCGTGGACCAAGGCGCGCTCTCGTGGACCAAGGCGCGCTCTCGTGGACCAAGGCGCGCTCTCGTGGACCAAGGCGCGCTCTCGTGGACCAAGGCGCGCTCTCGTGGACCAAGGCGCGCTCTCGTGGACCAAGGCGCGCTCTCGTGGACCAAGGCGCGCTCTCGTGGACCAAGGCGCGCTCTCGTGGACCAAGGCGCGCTCTCGTGGACCAAGGCGCGCTCTCGTGGACCAAGGCGCGCTCTCGTGGACCAAGGCGCGCTCTCGTGGACCAAGGCGCGCTCTCGTGGACCAAGGCGGACTCGTGGACCAAGGCGCGCTCGTGGACCAAGGCGCGCTCTCGTGGACCAAGGCGCGCTCTCGTGGACCAAGGCGCGCTCTCGTGGACCAAGGCGCGCTCTCGTGGACCAAGGCGCGCTCTCGTGGACCAAGGCGCGCTCTCGTGGACCAAGGCGCGCTCTCGTGGACCAAGGCGCGCTCTCGTGGACCAAGGCGCGCTCTCGTGGACCAAGGCGCGCTCTCGTGGACCAAGGCGCGCTCTCGTGGACCAAGGCGCGCTCTCGTGGACCAAGGCGCGCTCTCGTGGACCAAGGCGCGCTCTCGTGGACCAAGGCGCGCTCTCGTGGACCAAGGCGCGCTCTCGTGGACCAAGGCGCGCTCTCGTGGACCAAGGCGCGCTCTCGTGGACCAAGGCGCGCTCTCGTGGACCAAGGCGCGCTCTCGTGGACCAAGGCGCGCTCTCGTGGACCAAGGCGCGCTCTCGTGGACCAAGGCGCGCTCTCGTGGACCAAGGCGCGCTCTCGTGGACCAAGGCGCGCTCTCGTGGACCAAGGCGCGCTCTCGTGGACCAAGGCGCGCTCTCGTGGACCAAGGCGCGCTCTCGTGGACCAAGGCGCGCTCTCGTGGACCAAGGCGCGCTCGTGGACCAAGGCGCGCTCTCGTGGACCAAGGCGCGCTCTCGTGGACCAAGGCGCGCTCTCGTGGACCAAGGCGCGCTCTCGTGGACCAAGGCGCGCTCTCGTGGACCAAGGCGCGCTCTCGTGGACCAAGGCGCGCTCTCGTGGACCAAGGCGCGCTCTCGTGGACCAAGGCGCGCTCTCGTGGACCAAGGCGCGCTCTCGTGGACCAAGGCGCGCTCTCGTGGACCAAGGCGCGCTCTCGTGGACCAAGGCGCGCTCTCGTGGACCAAGGCGCGCTCGTGGACCAAGGCGCGCTCTCGTGGACCAAGGCGCGCTCTCGTGGACCAAGGCGCGCTCTCGTGGACCAAGGCGCGCTCTCGTGGACCAAGGCGCGCTCTCGTGGACCAAGGCGCGCTCTCGTGGACCAAGGCGCGCTCTCGTGGACCAAGGCGCGCTCTCGTGGACCAAGGCGCGCTCTCGTGGACCAAGGCGCGCTCTCGTGGACCAAGGCGCGCTCTCGTGGACCAAGGCGCGCTCTCGTGGACCAAGGCGCGCTCTCGTGGACCAAGGCGCGCTCTCGTGGACCAAGGCGCGCTCTCGTGGACCAAGGCGCGCTCTCGTGGACCAAGGCGCGCTCTCGTGGACCAAGGCGCGCTCTCGTGGACCAAGGCGCGCTCTCGTGGACCAAGGCGCGCTCTCGTGGACCAAGGCGCGCTCTCGTGGACCAAGGCGCGCTCTCGTGGACCAAGGCGCGCTCTCGTGGACCAAGGCGCGCTCTCGTGGACCAAGGCGCGCTCTCGTGGACCAAGGCGCGCTCGTGGACCAAGGCGCGCTCTCGTGGACCAAGGCGCGCTCTCGTGGACCAAGGCGCGCTCTCGTGGACCAAGGCGCGCTCTCGTGGACCAAGGCGCGCTCTCGTGGACCAAGGCGCGCTCTCGTGGACCAAGGCGCGCTCTCGTGGACCAAGGCGCGCTCTCGTGGACCAAGGCGCGCTCTCGTGGACCAAGGCGCGCTCTCGTGGACCAAGGCGCGCTCTCGTGGACCAAGGCGCGCTCTCGTGGACCAAGGCGCGCTCTCGTGGACCAAGGCGCGCTCTCGTGGACCAAGGCGCGCTCGTGGACCAAGGCGCGCTCTCGTGGACCAAGGCGCGCTCTCGTGGACCAAGGCGCGCTCTCGTGGACCAAGGCGCGCTCTCGTGGACCAAGGCGCGCTCTCGTGGACCAAGGCGCGCTCTCGTGGACCAAGGCGCGCTCTCGTGGACCAAGGCGCGCTCTCGTGGACCAAGGCGCGCTCTCGTGGACCAAGGCGCGCTCTCGTGGACCAAGGCGCGCTCTCGTGGACCAAGGCGCGCTCTCGTGGACCAAGGCGCGCTCTCGTGGACCAAGGCGCGCTCTCGTGGACCAAGGCGCGCTCTCGTGGACCAAGGCGCGCTCTCGTGGACCAAGGCGCGCTCTCGTGGACCAAGGCGCGCTCTCGTGGACCAAGGCGCGCTCTCGTGGACCAAGGCGCGCTCTCGTGGACCAAGGCGCGCTCTCGTGGACCAAGGCGCGCTCTCGTGGACCAAGGCGCGCTCTCGTGGACCAAGGCGCGCTCTCGTGGACCAAGGCGCGCTCTCGTGGACCAAGGCGCGCTCTCGTGGACCAAGGCGCGGACTCGTGGACCAAGGCGCGCTCGTGGACCAAGGCGCGCTCTCGTGGACCAAGGCGCGCTCTCGTGGACCAAGGCGCGCTCTCGTGGACCAAGGCGCGCTCTCGTGGACCAAGGCGCGCTCTCGTGGACCAAGGCGCGCTCTCGTGGACCAAGGCGCGCTCTCGTGGACCAAGGCGCGCTCTCGTGGACCAAGGCGCGCTCTCGTGGACCAAGGCGCGCTCTCGTGGACGAATACGCGCTCTCGTGGACCAAGGCGCGCTCTCGTGGACCAAGGCGCGCTCTCGTGGACCAAGGCGCGCTCTCGTGGACCAAGGCGCGCTCTCGTGGACCAAGGCGCGCTCTCGTGGACCAAGGCGCGCTCTCGTGGACCAAGGCGCGCTCTCGTGGACCAAGGCGCGCTCTCGTGGACCAAGGCGCGCTCTCGTGGACCAAGGCGCGCTCTCGTGGACCAAGGCGCGCTCTCGTGGACCAAGGCGCGCTCTCGTGGACCAAGGCGCGCTCTCGTGGACCAAGGCGCGCTCTCGTGGACCAAGGCGCGCTCTCGTGGACCAAGGCGCGCTCTCGTGGACCAAGGCGCGCTCTCGTGGACCAAGGCGCGCTCGTGGACCAAGGCGCGCTCTCGTGGACCAAGGCGCGCTCTCGTGGACCAAGGCGCGCTCTCGTGGACCAAGGCGCGCTCTCGTGGACCAAGGCGCGCTCTCGTGGACCAAGGCGCGCTCTCGTGGACCAAGGCGCGCTCTCGTGGACCAAGGCGCGCTCTCGTGGACCAAGGCGCGCTCTCGTGGACCAAGGCGCGCTCTCGTGGACCAAGGCGCGCTCTCGTGGACCAAGGCGCGCTCTCGTGGACCAAGGCGCGCTCTCGTGGACCAAGGCGCGCTCTCGTGGACCAAGGCGCGCTCTCGTGGACCAAGGCGCGCTCTCGTGGACCAAGGCGCGCTCTCGTGGACCAAGGCGCGCTCTCGTGGACCAAGGCGCGCTCTCGTGGACCAAGGCGCGCTCTCGTGGACCAAGGCGCGCTCTCGTGGACCAAGGCGCGCTCTCGTGGACCAAGGCGCGCTCTCGTGGACCAAGGCGCGCTCTCGTGGACCAAGGCGCGCTCTCGTGGACCAAGGCGCGCTCTCGTGGACCAAGGCGCGCTCTCGTGGACCAAGGCGCGCTCTCGTGGACCAAGGCGCGCTCTCGTGGACCAAGGCGCGCTCTCGTGGACCAAGGCGCGCTCTCGTGGACCAAGGCGCGCTCTCGTGGACCAAGGCGCGCTCTCGTGGACCAAGGCGCGCTCTCGTGGACCAAGGCGCGCTCTCGTGGACCAAGGCGCGCTCTCGTGGACCAAGGCGCGCTCTCGTGGACCAAGGCGCGCTCTCGTGGACCAAGGCGCGCTCTCGTGGACCAAGGCGCGCTCTCGTGGACCAAGGCGCGCTCTCGTGGACCAAGGCGCGCTCTCGTGGACCAAGGCGCGCTCTCGTGGACCAAGGCGCGCTCTCGTGGACCAAGGCGCGCTCTCGTGGACCAAGGCGCGCTCTCGTGGACCAAGGCGCGCTCTCGTGGACCAAGGCGCGCTCTCGTGGACCAAGGCGCGCTCTCGTGGACCAAGGCGCGCTCTCGTGGACCAAGGCGCGCTCTCGTGGACCAAGGCGCGCTCTCGTGGACCAAGGCGCGCTCTCGTGGACCAAGGCGCGCTCTCGTGGACCAAGGCGCGCTCTCGTGGACCAAGGCGCGCTCTCGTGGACCAAGGCGCGCTCTCGTGGACCAAGGCGCGCTCTCGTGGACCAAGGCGCGCTCTCGTGGACCAAGGCGCGCTCTCGTGGACCAAGGCGCGCTCTCGTGGACCAAGGCGCGCTCTCGTGGACCAAGGCGCGCTCTCGTGGACCAAGGCGCGCTCTCGTGGACCAAGGCGCGCTCTCGTGGACCAAGGCGCGCTCTCGTGGACCAAGGCGCGCTCTCGTGGACCAAGGCGCGCTCGTGGACCAAGGCGCGCTCTCGTGGACCAAGGCGCGCTCTCGTGGACCAAGGCGCGCTCTCGTGGACCAAGGCGCGCTCTCGTGGACCAAGGCGCGCTCTCGTGGACCAAGGCGCGCTCTCGTGGACCAAGGCGCGCTCTCGTGGACCAAGGCGCGCTCTCGTGGACCAAGGCGCGCTCTCGTGGACCAAGGCGCGCTCTCGTGGACCAAGGCGCGCTCTCGTGGACCAAGGCGCGCTCTCGTGGACCAAGGCGCGCTCTCGTGGACCAAGGCGCGCTCTCGTGGACCAAGGCGCGCTCTCGTGGACCAAGGCGCGCTCTCGTGGACCAAGGCGCGCTCTCGTGGACCAAGGCGCGCTCTCGTGGACCAAGGCGCGCTCTCGTGGACCAAGGCGCGCTCTCGTGGACCAAGGCGCGCTCTCGTGGACCAAGGCGCGCTCTCGTGGACCAAGGCGCGCTCTCGTGGACCAAGGCGCGCTCTCGTGGACCAAGGCGCGCTCTCGTGGACCAAGGCGCGCTCTCGTGGACCAAGGCGCGCTCTCGTGGACCAAGGCGCGCTCTCGTGGACCAAGGTGCGGACTCGTGGACCAAGGCGCGCTCTCGTGGACCAAGGCGCGCTCTCGTGGACCAAGGCGCGCTCTCGTGGACCAAGGCGCGCTCTCGTGGACCAAGGCGCGCTCTCGTGGACCAAGGCGCGCTCTCGTGGACCAAGGCGCGCTCTCGTGGACCAAGGCGCGCTCTCGTGGACCAAGGCGCGCTCTCGTGGACCAAGGCGCGCTCTCGTGGACCAAGGCGCGCTCTCGTGGACCAAGGCGCGCTCTCGTGGACCAAGGCGCGCTCTCGTGGACCAAGGCGCGCTCTCGTGGACCAAGGCGCGCTCTCGTGGACCAAGGCGCGCTCTCGTGGACCAAGGCGCGCTCTCGTGGACCAAGGCGCGCTCTCGTGGACCAAGGCGCGCTCTCGTGGACCAATACGCGCTCTCGTGGACCAAGGCGCGCTCTCGTGGACCAAGGCGCGCTCTCGTGGACCAAGGCGCGCTCTCGTGGACCAAGGCGCGCTCTCGTGGACCAAGGCGCGCTCTCGTGGACCAAGGCGCGCTCTCGTGGACCAAGGCGCGCTCTCGTGGACCAAGGCGCGGACTCGTGGACCAAGGTGCGGACTCGTGGACCAAGGCGCGCTCTCGTGGACCAAGGCGCGCTCTCGTGGACCAAGGCGCGCTCTCGTGGACCAAGGCGCGCTCTCGTGGACCAAGGCGCGCTCTCGTGGACCAAGGCGCGCTCTCGTGGACCAAGGCGCGCTCTCGTGGACCAAGGCGCGCTCTCGTGGACCAAGGCGCGCTCTCGTGGACCAAGGCGCGCTCTCGTGGACCAAGGCGCGCTCTCGTGGACCAAGGCGCGGACTCGTGGACCAAGGTGCGGACTCGTGGACCAAGGCGCGCTCTCGTGGACCAAGGCGCGCTCTCGTGGACCAAGGCGCGCTCTCGTGGACCAAGGCGCGCTCTCGTGGACCAAGGCGCGCTCTCGTGGACCAAGGCGCGCTCTCGTGGACCAAGGCGCGCTCTCGTGGACCAAGGCGCCACCACTTAGCGCCCAACTTAGCGCCCCCCCTTAGCGCCCCCCCTTAGCGCCCCCCTTAGCGCCCCCCCTTAGCGCCCCCCCTTAGCGCCCCCCTTAGCGCCCCCCTTAGCGCCCCCCCTTAGCGCCCCCCTTAGCGCCCCCCCTTAGCGCCCCCCCTTAGCGCCCCCCCTTAGCGCCCCCCCTTAGCGCCCCCCTTAGCGCCCCCCCTTAGCGCCCCCCCTTAGCGCCCCCCCTTAGCGCCCCCCCTTAGCGCCCCCCCTTAGCACCCTCACTTGGCGCCCCCAACCTTGGAGCAGCATGCGGAGGGCAACAGCCTCCGTCTCCTCATCCTCCAGCTCCTCCTCTTGCTGCACCTCCCACGCCCACTCTTGAGCCTCACCACACACCAGCCCACCCACATACACTACCCATCACCCACAGCCACCACCACCCATCACCACACACAACCATTCTCAACCCACCTTCCAGCAGCATGCGCCTGAGTGCTGCAGCCTCCGCCTCCTCATCCTCAAGCTCCTCCTCTCGCTGCACCTCCCAAGCCCTCCTCCTCTCCCCCCCCCACGCCCCCTCCCCTCGCCCCACCCCCCTCCCTCTCCTCCTCCCCGCCCTCCTCAGCCTCTAGCAAATTCTCCAAGTCCCCCGCAAACGAGTCTAAGTCCCCCAACAGCTCCACTTCTTCCTCCTCCTCCCCTTCCGCCACAGCAGACAAGCTCCTGACCTGCTTCTCCCACACCTCCTGGCACTTGCTCCGCGTCTGCATCTGCAGCTGCGAGAACGACATGCGTTGCCCCCTTGCAAACTTATTCAGCGCAGCAACAGAGTCACCGCTCTTCCCAGCAGCAGCGGCCGCTTGTTCCGAAGACAGCTTCCGAACCAGAGCAATCCTGTGCCAGCGGCCCATCTTCTGAATCTGCTCATCTGCCACTCCTAGCTTCAGCAGCACCTCCCGAGCCGCCTCCATGCCGAGCCTGCGCAGGTCCGCGTCCGTGCCTGTCACCGCCGCCCCGCCCCGAGCCTGCGCCGCCCGCTTTTCCACCACCTTGATCTTCTCAGCCCCTGGCTGCTTGTGCTGAATCTTGAGAAAGGAAAACGCCAGGCCACGCCCAGACGGATCCCCAGCTCCGCTAATCTCCAACTTCTCTAACCCACCCTTCCCATGGGTCATACTCGATACGTAGTTGTGGGATAAATTCCACGGAGTGAGCAGTAACTCCCTCTCTATAAGCAGACTCGCTGCCATCTTTATTGGGTTGTCCGGGAGGAGCTGGGCGATGGCAGTGCTGAGAGGCGGCGACGCGTTGGTGAGGTGGCGGATGCCGATTCGCCGAAGGTGGTGCAGGCCTGCCAGCATGCTCTCGTGGCAGCACACCGAGTCGGGGGTTACCATTCTCCTAAGCTCCTCCTCGGAAGGAACCCGGAAGTTTCTCCGCATCACCCACCACATTTCCCCGCCCTCCAGCCTCTGCAGCTCTGCGCACGTTTTAAGCCGCTTCTTTATAAGCCCCTCGGTCAGCGTGGGGAACTGCGCAGCAATATCATCCGCCCTTACCTTTGGCGCGTTCACCACGGCCCGCCGTCCCCCCTTCTTCCCACCCTTCCCCTGCGCCGCTCCCTTCCCACCGCCGCTCCCGCCGCCGTCCTTATCCTTGTCATAATCCCGGAAAGTTCGACAGACTTCAACCATAAGGCGGTTGCTACTATGGAGTACGGCAGCTTTGGAAATGGGATTCATAACTTCCATATGCGGTTCCTGTTGCCCCACCACCTGCATGCCGTCTATCCTCCTTATAGACAACTTCCCTTTCGGCGACCGGACGAGCAGGTAGTCCGTGTGCGGCACATGCTGCCGAAACACCGGGGCTCGGAACAGGTTCGTCTCGAGGCTGGACTGGCTCGTGCCGGGCCTGATGTCGCCCAGGAACGGGGACTCCTCGTCAGGTTCGAGCGGCATCACCGAGCCGGAGAAAGGGACGTCCCGGATCGCAGCTGCGCCGGAATCGACGGACGAGATCTTGCGGTAGTAGGTGGCTAGCCGGGCGCCCATGCCCACGTTGCTGAGGAGCAAAGGGCGCTCCTCACAGTATCTGGGGGGGGGGGGAAGGGGGAGGGTGGAGGGTGGAGGGTGGAGGGTGGAGGGGGGAAAGTGGAAGTGGAGGAGGGGGAGAGTGGGAGGAGGGAAAGAGGGGGGGAGGGTAGGTGGGGGGTGGAGAAGAAAGTGGGGGGAGGGGAAAGGAGGAGAAGGGCGGACGAAAAAGTGTTCAAGAAATGGAGCAGAAGGTGTAGCTTCCGGTATTTTGAAGAGAGGGAGGAGGAACGGGGAAGGAATGGAGTGGAGAAGAATACCACAAGAGCTCAACCCACTCACCATTCACCCCTCCCAACACCCTCCAAATCCCCCAAATCCTCCCAAACCCCCTTAAAATCACCCCAAGATCCCCCCCAGTACAACTCACTCCATGAGCACCATGTGGCCATCCTTGACTGAAAGATCTGCCTTCTTCCGAAACGCCCCGGGGGGGCGCTTGGGCTTGCTGTCGCCGGGGAGCTTCAGGTGCGCTCGCCCCCAGGGGTGCAGGCGCGGGCGCACCACGTGAATGATGGCGTTGCCCCTCACTCCCTGCTCTCCCAGCGTCTTATCGGGTGTGACCTCGTGGCCGTTGGAATAGAAGCGCACTGCCTCACTCTCTTTCATGTCTGCACATGGGGGGACAAGGAGGAAACAGGAGGAGGGGCAAAACAGATAGCAGGTGTGGGGGCAGGGAAGGGGCTGGCTCTGTGTGTGCTTGTCTTGCCCCGTGCACGCTCGCCCCCACGCATGCAGGCACGGCCGCACCAGGCGGAGAATGGCGTTGTCTTGCACTCTCTGTTCGCCCAGTGTCTTGTCTGCCGTCACTTCGTGCCCGTTGGAGAAAAACAGCACTGCAGTTTTGGCAAGGAACAACCCCAGCATCTCCCCAGCGCCCGCATGCAGTGCAACTTCACATACCTCCCAGCTTCGACATACACACCTCCCAATTTCTTGGCTGTCTTGGCACGAAGCGCTCCCAGCATCTCCCCCGCGCCCACATGCAGCTCACGGCCTTGCTGCCCAGCGTCCTCACAATCAAGCGCAGGCTGCCCTACCATATACCTCCCTCCCAGCCTTACACGCACCAAAGAACATACCTCCCAGCTTCTTGGCAGTCTTAGCTCGCAAGGAACCCAGCATCTCCCCAGCCCCCACGTGCAGCTTCACAGCCTTGCTGCCCAGCGTCCTCACAATCACCCTCAGGCTGCCCTCCTGCCCCTCACATACGCACCTCCCAGTTTCTTGGCTGTCTTGGCCCGGAGTGCACCCAGCATCTCCCCCGCCCCCACGTGCAGCTTCACGGCCTTGCTGCCCAGCGTCCTCACGATCAACAATCACCCAAAGACTGCCCTATAACATACATACCTCCCAGCTTCTTGGCCGTTTTAGCTCGCAATGCACCCAGCATCTCCCCTGCTCCCACGTGCAGCTTCACAGCCTTGCTGCCCAGCGTCCTCACAATCACGCGCAGGCTGCCCTCCTGCCCCTCCACGCGCCCCTGTGCCCTCGCCGCCGCCTCGCTCTGGTGCGCAAACCATAGCGCCTGGGGCCGGTGGAAGCGCGATAGGTCCTTGCTGTAAAGGTGGGGAAGGATGGAGGGACGGATACGGGGAAAAGCGGGTAAGGGGAAAGCAGGGGAAATGCGGGGTTTCACAAGTTCCCCCTTCCTCACGATCACGCGAAGGCTGCCCTCCTGCCCCTCCTCGCGCCCCTGCGCCCTCGCCGCCGCCTCGCTCTGATGCGCAAACCACAGCGCCTGGGGCCGGTGGAAACGCGATAGGTCCTTGCTGGAGTGTTGGGGGGGAGGGTGGGTAGCAGCAGGGTGAGGAGGGATCAAGGCGGGAGGCTCATACAGAAGAATTGAAACGTTTCAAAAGCCACCCATCACTCTGCTGCGCAAACCACAGCGCCTGCGAGTGACTGAAGCGCGATAGGTCATTGCTGGAATGAGAGGAGCGAGGGGAGGGAGAAAAGGAGAGCGATGGGCGGGACATGGAAGAGCATTGGTATGTAACTGGCTCAGTCACGGCTTGACATGATCGAAACAATCACTCACTTGCTCAGCCGTGGCTTCATGGTCTGAAGCCGAATAGCTGGAAGCGAATGATATACCTTCACACTCGTGCTTCGATCTATCACTCACCATGTCCCGTACTTACTTGCTGAGTCTCGGCTTCATCGTCTGCAGCCGAATAGCCGGCAGCGAGTGGTACACCTTCACACTCGTGCTCGCGCGCTTCTTCCCGTGCGCCTTCCCGCCACCCCCCGCTCCGCCCACCGCCCCCACGCCCGCCTTGCTGCTCTGGTACAGGTGGTCCCGCGAGAAATCCACCGCCCACGCTGCTGCCTCTGCCAGGAACTCCGGAGGCAGCCACCCCGCTGCTGCGTCGCCTGGGAGCGGGAGGTGTGCTGATGGGAGCGTGGAGGAGAGAGAGGTTGGTGGAGGGACGATGGAGCTGCTGGGTTCAGACGCACTTGCTCCTGCTGCTGCTGCTGCTGCTGCGGCGGCGGTGGTGGCGGTGGTGGCGGTGGCGGTTCCTGTCCTTGGTGAGACGACTGCAGCTGTTGTTTCACCGATAGTTACGGGCGCTGATGTGGGGAGCGTCAGCATCTGCTGCTGCTGATGTGGCACGACGCGTGGCTGAGCTGGCACAATCATAGCCAACGCATGGTCAATCAGAGGAATCGTCCCAGCATCACCACCTGCCACTTCCTCCCCACCTGCCTCCACCCTCCCTCCAATCTCCTCCCTGCCACTCTCCCCACCAGCACCGGCAACAACACCACCCGACCCCACACCTGCCCCAGGAACCCCTACACCAGATGCACCTGCCTCAGTCACACCCGCCAGAGATACCCTCCCCAGCACAGAGCCCCCCACGCCCGAGCCTTCCCTCCCAGTGACCTCCCCTACCGGCCCCACCAGCTGGAAGGTCATGCGCCGATCGCTGAGGTCAAAGATAATGCGCGGAGGAGCAGGGCGAGACGGGCGAGACGGGCGAGATGGTCGAGATGGGAGAGACGGTTGAGGCAAGGTAACACCTGCAGAGGTGGACGGTGCCAGTTTCGTTGGCTTGCGCATCTTCTTGCGCCGCGAAGCCCGTGGAAACACCTGGGAGAACGCCAGCATAACAGGAGCGTCTGGAGTGACACTCTCCTCCCTCCCCTCTCCCCCCTCCCTCACGCCACCCTTGCTCCTCCCCTCCTCCTCCTCCCCCGCCTCCTTCCTCTCCTCGCCCTCGTCCTCCTCCTCATCCTCATCACCCCACAGCACCGCATCCAACCATGCACCAGAGTCCAACTCTGTGTTTCTTGGCACGGCTGCAGTCCTCAGCACCTCCCTCACTCGCCTCCTCACAGCCGCCCTGCCAGGATCCTCTTCTTCTTCCTCCTCATCCTCCTCCTCCTCTCCCTCTGCCTCGTGCTCATGCCCATCCTCAGGTCTCTCATCAAGCTTACCAGCAGCACCATCGCCCCTACCATCACCTTCCGCGTCACCAGACACACCTACTGCCCCCTCCCCATCTGCAGCACCACCACCCCTCCCTCCCTCTCCCCTCCCAACCCCACCACCCTTCTCCCCCACCTTACTCCTTCCCCGACCCTTCAACCCAGCTTCGGCCCGACCCTGACACTCGAGCCGGAGCAGCAGCGGGTGGATTTCCCGAGCCTCTCCGTCCTCCTCCCAGCCTCGGAACGCCCTGGGCTTGGGCCAAGACGCACCTATAGGCTCTAGAACCACCCCATCATCATACACCAGCACATCCCCATACTTTCCCACCAGCTCTGCTGGTGGCGGCTGCTTTTGTGCCGCCACCAGCGCACCACCCTGCTTCTTATCGCCCCTTCTGCTCCCTGCACCCTTTGCTTCCCCTTTGCCCCCTTCCAGCCCTGTGCCGCCTGTGCCTCCATCCTCCCATTCTAGCTCCTCCTCCGATTCCTCCCCCCCAGAAATATCAAGCCTCTCAATAGTCCCTTCCTCCTTGACGCCTTTCTCTGCTCTACTCCCTTCCCTCTTGCCATCCCCCGTCACTATATCCATCTCCACATGCTTCCCACTCCCCACCTTCACCTCCACATCCCCGTTTTCTCTCTCACCAACCCCCTTCCTCCTCCTTCTCCTCCTCCTCCTCCTCCTCCTCCTCCTCCTCCTCCTCCTCCTCCTCCTCCTCCTCCTCCTCCTCATCCTCCTCCTCCTCTTCCTCCTCTCTCCTCACCTCATGCCCCATCACCCCCACTCCACCTCTCTCCCCCACCTCACCCTCGCCCTCCCAGCTCTCCGCGCGTTCAGGGCTGCCCCACACAATCTGGTCCTCCCAGTCGCTCTGCATGAGGGCAGAGAACACAGCACTGGACGTGCGGTCAAACACCCCTGCAAACGACTCTGCCAGATGTATCAACTCAGTCCTCCCCGGATCCTGTTCTTGAAACAATGGCCCGTCCAACGACCGCCGAACTGCTCCCTTTGGTCGCTTCTTCATCCTCGTTTTACGCGTCTTCTTTTTAAGCGCCTTCTCTGCCGCCTTGAGCTTTACTCTTTCAGCTCTCTCGCCCAGTTTTGTACCAACCGCCAGAATTTCTCGGCCTGTTTCTCTTCTCGCTCCTCCTCTTTCGTCGAGACCATTTCCCACCATTACCATCTCTTCCCCTGTTTGTCTTCTCTCCCCTTCATCTTCAAGTTTTACACCCTTCACTTCCCCCATTCCACTTCTCCTTTCCTCCACGCCCCCTATCATTGCGACTCTTGTGTCTTGCACTCTGCTCCCTCCTTCCCCCTGCCCGCCTGCCCCTTCGCCATCCCCCGCCTGTCCTCCTCCTCCCTCTTTCACACCTTCGCCTGCTCCTCTCTCTTGCTGGCACACGGCATGCTGTTCGGCCTCTTCCTCCCCTCCATCCTTCCCAGCCCCACTTCCCTCCCTCATCCCCTTCTCTTCTCCCCCATCCTCTTCCTCTCCTTCCTCGCCCCCATTCCCTCCCTCCTCACCCAACCCTCCTTCTCTTCCCTCCACTCCCACTTTTCCGCCCTCCTTCACCTCACACACAACAGCATCCGCACTTTTACCATTCCCACCCTCCTCTCCACTCCCTTCCCCAACCCCCTCTCCACTTTCCTCTCCACTTCCGTCTCCTCTGCCCTCAACACTGCCCTCCCTTGTCGTACAGGCATCAGCAGCACCATCCTCGGACTTGCTGTTCTCTTCGCCCATCCCCACCTGTCTACCAACAACTGCAGCTTCATCCGTCGCATCCTCCTTACCCTCACCCTCCCCTCCATTGTCACCCTCTCCCTTCGCCTTCTCCCTCTCTTTCTCAGACCCCTCAACGCACTTCGGCGGCTGCTGTGCTTCCTTCAACCCCCCCAATTCCCCCACCAAACCTCCCACCACTCCCCCTTGCACCTGCTGTCCTTGTCCCTTCAGCATCATTCCCTCTCCTTTCCCTACCTCTCCCATCCCCAACCTCTTCATTGCGCCTGCCTCCCCATCAGCTCGCCCTGCTTCGTTCACCTCCTTCTCTCCCTCGCCTGCAGGAGGGACCCCCATCCCATATTGGCCTTCCGCCCCTGCCACGTTACCTTGCTTCTCTCCGGCCCCTCCCTCCATCGCACCACTATCATTGCCCCCTTCCATCCCCTGTATCTCACTCGCATTCACAAGCTCCTTCTTTCGCCCCCCTTCTTCCTCCTCCTCTCCCTTTTCTTCGCCCCCTTCTTCGTTTTCTCCTTCCACTTCCGTCCTCTCAACTTCCTCCCCTGCCTCATTCTCTTCCTTAGCTTTCTCTTCCTCCACTTTCCTCCCGCACCCTTCTTCCTCCTCCTTCCGCTCCTCCACATTTTCCCCCAGATCCTTCCCCTCCTCTCCACCCTCTTTCCCTTCCCAAGGCTGTGAGTCCACCTCCATCTGTTCACCATCCTCCCCTTCGTCCTCCTTCTCCCCCTTCTCCTTCTCTACTTTCCTCCTCCTCCTCCTCCCCCTTCTCCCCTTTCTCCTCCTCCTCTCCCTTCCCATCGTTCTCCTCAACCTTCTCCTTCTCATCCTCCTCCTTTCCCTTCTCCCCGTTCTCCTCCCCTTTCTCAACCTTCTCCTTCTCCTTCTCCTCTCCCTTCTCCTCGTTCTGCTCCCCCTTTTCCCCGTTCTCATCCTTCTCCTCTCCCTTCCCTTCGTTCTTCTCCCCCTTCTCCCCCTTCTCATCCTTCTGCTCTCCCTTCTCCTCCCCCTTCTCGCCCATAGCTTCCATTACATAATCCATTCTTCCTTCCTCGACCCCCTCCCTCACTCCCTCCCCCGCTCCCTCCTCCAATCCAACTGCTAAATTAACATCCCCTTTATCACCATCTCTTCCACTACCAACCTGTATGATCTCATCCCTTCTACCTTTATCCTCTCTGTTATCATCCTCTATATTGTCATCCCCTCTATGAATGCTATCTCCCAGTTTGCCATTCCTTGCCACATCCATCTCCTCCTGCTCCCCACCCCCTTCCACTCCAACCTTCATCCCACCATTCCCCTCCCCATCCTCGCTTCCCACTGTGCTTTTCTCCCCCCCTTCTTCTCCTCTCCCCTCTTCCTCTCCTCTCTTCTCGTTCTCTCGTGCTCCTTCCTTTTGCTCCTGCTCCTCTGCCCTACCCTCTTCATCCTTCTCCCCTGAAACCACTGCATCAGCATTACCACCACCACCACCACCAGCATCACCAGCATCAGGACCATCGGCCTTTCCTCCCTCCACACTCTCATCCACCACTTGCATTTTAATCTCGATCCCATCATCAACAAGCCTGTCTCCCTCTCCTTTCCCTCCATCCTCTCCTTTTGCTCCTTCCCCTCCTTCTTTCTCCCTTGCCTCACCTGTCCCCACGCCACTCTCCTCTGTAACCATCCGCCCTGCATCCTCCTCTTCTCCCCTCCCTCTACCCTCGTTCTCCCCATGGACCAGGCAATCGCCCTCCTTCTCCTTCCCATCCTCACTCTCCACAACCCTCCCCAACCCATCCCCATCCCCAATCCCCTTCCCATCCCCATCCTTAAGAGAATCACCACCCACACGCCCATCACCATGCCCATTCAAATGCCCATCACTCCCGCCAATCTGAATCACATCACCTAGCCCATCCCCACTCCCTCGCCTGTCACCATCCCCATCACCTTCGTCTGCCCCCGCCACCTTCCCTTCTCCCTTGCTCTCTTCACTGCCAGCCTTCATGCCGCCCTCTATGCTGCCCTCTATGCCGTCCCCGTTGCCGCCCACTTCGCCGTCCCTTTCATCATCAGTGCCGCCCTCAGCACCACCTGCTGCACTTTCGTCTTCAGCTGACAGTTTCTGAGGCATCTCAGGAACAGCACATTGTTCCCTCGTTTCAGAAGGCACTTGAACCCCCTTTTCCTCCTCTTCCCTATTTCCGCTCCCCAACTCACCCTCCATCTCCTTCCCCTTCCCAAACACTTTCAACATCCCCTCCTCATTCTCTCCCCTTGTGATCTCCTCACCTCCTTCACTCTTCTTGACCTCACATTCCCTTACAACCTCCGCTTCCCCTACTGCCAATAGTGACCCCTCATGTGCGCCATGCGACCCTTCCTCTGCACCACCAATTCCCTCCGCAACTTGTAACCCCTCTCCTTTCCTCCCTACCACGCCCTCCTCTCCTTCCCTCCGCCCCACCCTCTCAGGCCCCAGTTGACCTTGACGCGCCTCCAAAACAGCTTCAACAGCTTCCTTCGCAGCACCAAGCAATCCCTGGCTCTGCTTCGCCCGTACCCCCTCTCCTTCCCTCTGCTCCACCCCTAACCCTTCAGATTGCTCCATGCACGCAATCTCTCCCCCGTCGTCCCCACCACTAGTCCTTGCAGCCCCTTCACCCTCCTTCTCGTCTGGTTTCTCACCCTCCATCTTGTCAGTTTCAGCCCCTCTCTCCTTGTCCTTTCCAGCCCTTAAAGGGCTTTGAGAAGTCTCTCTCTCAACCTCCATCTTCTCAGTATCAGCCCTTAGAGGGCTTTGAGAAGTCCCAATACTTGACTTCTCAACCTCCATCTTGCCGGCTTCAACCTCTTTCTCCATGCCCTCTCCAACCCCCGTATCCTGCTCTCCAGCCCCCACCGCTTCCCCCGCCCCTCTGTCACCCTGCCCAGTCCCCACCTTCCCCACGTCACCCTGCCCAGTCCCCACCTTCCCCACGTCACCCTGCCCAGTCCCCACCTTCCCCACGTCACCCTGCCGCACCTCCCCTCGGTCCACTTCCATCACCTGCATTTTACTATCCTCACCAACCGACTGCTCCTCTCCCCCTCCTGCCTCCCCCATTGCCTTCCCCCCTGCCTCCTCCCTTGCCTCCTCTGCTGCCTCCCCCCCTGCCTTCCCCCCTGTCTCCCCTGCTGCCTCCCCCTCTGCCTCCCCTCCCGTTTTCACTGCTGCACTCACCCCTCCTGCCTTCGACCCTCCCGCCCCCTCCCCTTCCCCTGTTTTCACCTCCTCGTCCTCCCTCCCACCTCCTCTCTCCTCCTCATCCTCGACCCGCTCATCCTTCCTCACATCCACCATACCCGCACTCCTCCCCTCACTCCCTCCCTCACTCTTTCCCTCACTCACTCCCTCATTCCTAGTTTCTCTCTCTGAGCCGCCACCCTCTACCCCTCTATGCTCGCCCTCCACAGTGCATGAAGGCGTCTCAACAGTGGTCCGAGGCTCCTCTTCCCTATCCCTATTCTCCTCAACCCTTTCCTTCTCCCAGCTATCCTCCTCTCCACCATTCCTCTTTTCCTCAACCCTTGCTGTATCCCCTTCCATTGCCACCCCAGCATCACCTCTCACGCCTTCCTCCTTCAACCCTCGATCCTTCTCATCAGATACTCCCTTGTCCATATTCCCATCTTTCTCTCCCTTCTCCACAGCTTCATTTTTCTCACTCCCCTTGTCCGCACTCCCATCTTTCTCCCCCTCGTCACTTCCATCGTGCCCCTTCTCCTGCCCGTCCCCTTCATCCTCCTCTCCAGCACTCCTCTTTTCCTCAATCCTCGCCCTCTCCTCTTCCGCAGCCCCCCTCACCCCCGCCCTCGCTTCCCTCGTTCATCAACCCTCGTTCCCTCTCCATTTCATCCATTCCCTCCTTGTTCCAAATTTGACTTCCCTCTATCCTAGCTCTTCCAATTATGGCCTCATCCTCCTCTTCTTTCAACCCCTCCTCCTTCTCCTCGTCCCTTGCTGCCAGTTTCACCTCTTCTTTCATCCGACATTCAATCGCCTCTCCTTCCCTGAAATCTACTCCCTCTTTTTCCTCCTCGTCCTCTTCCTCTTCTTCTTCCTCTTCCTCTTCTTCCTCTTCATCTACCTCTTCCTCCTCCTCTTCCTCCTCCTCCCCTTCTTCTTCTTCCTCTTCCTCCTCTTCCTCCTCCTCTTCCTCCTCCCTCTCCAGCATCTCTTGATATTGCAGCTCTTTCTCAAGAGCAATAGCTCGCTCTCGCATCATCTCAGCCGTTCGTTTCGGCGACGGTGCAGATCGAAGAAGCACCTCGTCGTCCTCTTGCCCTGGATCTGCAAGAAAGAAGTACATCCACACACGTTTTCCATGCGCACACATTCACCATTCACGCAAAAACACACACAATACACGGCTTTGAAATACGCAAACATGTGGAGGAAAAAATGTGGGAAAAAAGAAGAAGAAAAAAAATGAACACCTCTAACTCAAAGCTTTCATGGTCATTACATGAGCTAGCGGACAGCAACCCACTCACCACACACAGTCGGCGCACGAGGCAGCACGCGGTGGCGCTTGGGGCGGGGACCTCTCTGCACAACCAGCGACCAGAAGGAGCCCTTGATGCCAAAGATGTCTGAGAAGCGCAGCACGTCCTTGCCCCCCTCCTTAAACAGCACAGGCAGCTCACTCCTCCGCTTCCCCTCCTCCTCCCCTCCCCCCGCCTCCCCCTCTTCCTCTCCCTCCTCCTCTCCCATCCCTCCCTCCAGGCCCTCCTCATCTCCTGAACCTTCTCCCTCCCCTTGCCCTGCCCAATCCATTGCATCTGTGTCACCGTCACCAGCACCCCTGCCCTGCTGCCCACCACCCTCCTCCTCCTCCACCCCAGCCTCTACCCCTCTCTCCACGCCTCCCCCTTCCTCTCCAGCCTCATCCTCCTGTTCTCTCATCTCCTCATCCTCCCTCCCGCCACCAGCCAGGCCGTCTGCTTCTCCTGCATCACCTCCTCCCTCCTCCTCGCCCCTCACCCCCTCCTCTTCCTCTCCCTCACTTCCTTTCTCACTCCCTGGTACCGGCTCCCCAGCTTCCCACTCTCCTCCCACCATTTCATCTCCGCCTCCAGCTCCTCCCACAACCGTCTCCCCATCTGCCGCAGCACCGCCTTCAGCACCCTGTTTCTCCCCCTCATCCTCCTCGTCCTCCTCCCCCGCCCCTTCCTCCCCCGCCCCTTCCTCCCCCTCGCCTCCCTCTTCCCCCTCATCCAAACCCCCCTCCCCCTCATCCACCCCCCCCTCCCCTTCATCCATCGCCTCCTCCAACGCTGCTTCTAAATCCGCCTCCAAATCGTCCTCCTGCTCCTCTCCTTCCGCATACTCCTCTGCTCCCTCATGCTCCTCCTCCTCATCTCCTTCCTTCCCATACTCTTCTCCCACACCCTCACCCTCACCATCTCCCTCACCCTCCCCTTCTCCGTCCGCTTCCTCCCCTATTTCCTCCTCTGCTTCCTCTTCCGCCCCTCCCTCCTCCTCTGCCTCCTCTTCCTCCCCTCCCTCCTCTGCCTCCTCTTCTTCCCCTCCCTCCCCTTCTGCCTCCTCCTCTTCACCTCCCTCCTCCGCATCCCCTTCCTCATCCTCCTCCTCCTCTTGACCCATGCCTCCTTCGTCCTCCTCATGAGCTCCCTCTAATTCCTCCTCACCACCGTCATCCAATCCTTTGCCTTCCTCTGCTTCCTCCTCTTCCTCCTCTTCCTCCTCTTCCTCCTCTTCTTCCTCCTCTTCGTGCTCCTCCTCATCGTCTCCTTTTTCCTCCTCCTCCTCCTCTGCCTCCTCATGATCATCCAACCCTTCATCAAGTGAGCCCTGTGTGCCCCCTTCTCCTTCCTCCTCTTCACCCAACCCCTCGTCCAACCCATCCTCTTCCTCCTCCATATTTCCATCATCCTCTCCTTCCCCTCCTTCCTCTTCTTCTTCCTCATCTTCCTCCTCCCCTTCTTCGTCCCCCTCCTTCTCCTCCTCATCCTCCTCCCCCTCATCCTCAACCCCCTCTGTTGCACCCTCCGCTTCCTCTTCCCCCTCCTCCTCGTCCTCGTCCTCTTCTTCGTCCTCTGTGAATCCCAACTCGCCAGGGGTGGTTGGCACTGCAGCCTCCCCTTCACCTCCCTTCTCCATCCCCTCCCTACCATCCTCCCCTGTTTCCTCCCCACCCTCCTCTTCTTCACCCTCTCCCCCATCTTCATCACAATCTTCGTCCTCCTCGCTTCCTTCCTCTTCTCCTTCCCCCTGCCCTTCTGCATCCCCTTCTCCGTCCTCCTCGTCTTCACCTCCTTCGTCTCCTCCCTCCTCTCCCATCCGTTCCTCCTCTGCCCTATCTGCCTGCCCGGCCTCCTCCAACTCGTCTAGAAGCCCATCAAGTTCCTCATCCTCATCGTCCTCCTCTTCCTCTCCTTGCCTCACTTCTTCTGCTGCTGCTGCTGCTGCTGCTCGTCTTGCCCCATCCCTCCAACTCCTTCCTCTCCAAATCCAGGATCACCTTCACCCTCTTCCTCCGCCTCCTTCTCTTCATCCCCTTCACCCTCACCCTCTTCCTCCTCCTCCTCCTCCTCTTCCTCCTCTTCCTCCTCTTGCCCTTCTATTCCCTCTTCTGCCCCAACCTCCACATTCCCCATATCCCCCAACTCCAGTTCCAACCCTGTCACCTCCTCCTGTTTTTCCTCTTCATCCCCTTCTTTCCCCTCATCCTCCTCCTTCTCCTCCTCCTCCTCCTCCTCCTCCTCGTCCTCCTCTTCCTCTTCCCCTCCTACTCCCTCGTGTACCTCTTCCTCTTCCACCTCCTGCTCCGCACTCCCCTCGACCGCAGCCTCCCCCCCTCCAACTGCACCCATATTCCCGTCCCCAAACCCCCCTTCCCCCGCACCCTCTCCTGCTGCCTCCTCCGCTTCCTCCTCCCTCTCCTCCGCCCCCTCCTCCATCTCCTCCTCTTCCAAGTCATAATCCTCCTCCTCTCCTGCATCACCTGCACCAACCCCTTCCAGCCCAGCAGCATAATCAAACCCACTTCCACCAGCATCCCCACCACCTCCACCACCACCAACACCAGCAGCAGCAGCACCAAAAGCAGCGCCGCTGCCACCAGCACCAGCATCCTCCTCCTCGAACGCCTCGTCTATATCCTCGTAGTCCTCTGCATCGTCTGCTTTCCGATCATAGTCTGATCGTCACGGCAGGGACAACAGGGCACGCACACAATGAAGGTACAAATCAGCTTTGCAGTCCTGTGACTCCCCATCGTTCTCCTCAAACGCCTCGTCTGTATCCTTGTCGTCTTCTGCGTCATATTCCAAATGCAAGGTCCCATTGGCACTTGAACCATTACCATACTTGCAAGTGCAGATATCCTTCAAGCATCAATCAAACACAGACTCACTCACTCACCATCATCATCATCACCAGCTTGCCCGGCCCCTGACCTCGCCTCAAACTGCCAGGGAAGATTCAAAGCACAGAAAAACGGAAAGCGAGCATCAGCGGAGGCCCGCAGGCGCCGCGCAGGCTGAGCGGCGAAAGATGCCTGCCACGTTCTTTTTTCCGGGTGCAAAACTGGAAGATATCGAATGAATTACAAATATCCATTCCATCCCAACCAACAGCACTTCCACCACGTCGGTCAAGGCTGGGCAGAGCTGGGAGCTATTGGGGTGCTAATCAGGTCAAATACTAGGTCAACCCAAAAAATAAAATCACCTCAAGAAGGGAAGGAACAAATTGTTTATCACTCAACAGTACCTCCATGTCAGCCAAGGCTGGGCCGAGCTGGTCCGCCAATCCAGCTAAGTGATCCCTCGCCTCCTGCGGGATAAGACAACGCACATCGTGTTAGAAACGGTTCGGGAACTGGAGTGTAAGAGTCAGTTCAAGAAGACGGGTGAGACAAACACTGTCAAGAACCAGGACAAGAGCAGTAAGATTTTGCTAGTATGCACCACGCAGCCTTAACCAGCAACCATTCCTGTCAGAACGCCAAGAACCTGACTTCCGTGTTCTTGCGCAATCATGTTGCGGTTAATACTGAGGACTTGGCGGCAAACAGCCCTGACATTACACAAAATGTCGTAGGTATTTGAAGGATGCTAAAGACGAAACCGGGCACTCTTATACCGACCTCATCCATGTACTCTTATACCGACCTCATCCATGTACTCCTCCTCCAGCGAACCCTCGTCGTTCACGTTTCCTAGCATAAACGCCAGCATGTTCGGCACTCCCCTCTCCTCGTCATCCTCCTCGTCGTATTCCTCCTCCTCCTCCTCTTCGTCCACATGCTCGTCGTCATCGTTACCCTCGTACCCGGTATTGTGGCTAGAGTAATCCATGAAAACGACGCCTAAAGAAGAGAGAGAAAAAAAATGTAAGGTTACGTGGGTGCTATCTCGCAACGAAGCTGGTCAGGGAAACAACCCCTGGTTCTGTACCTGACGAGTACGATGAGTTCTAAATATAAGAATACGAAGCGACTACGAGATATGAATGCGACCAGCAGCACCCGGCGTAAGCGATATCACCTAATAGAATGAAATCGCCTTATTCATAACCTTGTTAGGTCCAATACTCGGAATCGTTTGCCGTAACTTTCACGTCATCGCAGGAAAAAACGTTATCGCAAAACCGCAGATAAACTGGGGAAACAATCTCCCTGACTAGGTGACTATTCCTAATTGTTGACCTCACCACATCATATATAGCTAGCAAGGCATCTATCTCGATGAACTTTGCTCCAAGCTGGGGCATTATCAAGGTGAGGACGAGTCGCGGGGGTGCCGTGAGGTCCCTTTTGCGCTAGATCACATTGAAATTGTCGAGATGTCCGAGTGGGTGAATTTTCTTCGGGTTGGACAAAGGTCGCGGGTTCGATCCTTCTGGAAGAGAGTGTTCACCTGTATATCCGTACATTTGGTTCCGAAAATGAGCAAAATGTGTAACAGGCTTGACAGGCGAAGTGATATGCGAAATTCCGCTGTCATTTCGTGATCGCTTGCCACGTTGCGCATGGCGATTGATTGGAACTGTCCCACTGTCAGAAGAATTTCTGACTTTCGGGGCCAAACCAAACCAGTACCTTCGTTGATTCAAAACCCTCGATGCAACCTTGGCGCTCAAACCCGAATCTGGTTCCGTCACAGCCTCGACAGTTGACAAACAAGGTAGCCAAGTCCGGCAACGAACCTGTCACACAGGCTCGATCCCCAAAGAACCCAAGGAACGCTCCTGCTTGCATGTGTTGAGACAGTTTTCAAGTTCGCTTTCTGAACCGTCCGATCTTTCCCGCCATTGCCATCGCTCACCGATCTGATTTTCCCGCTTCTCCTTGCTGTAATTCATCATCAGTGCGTGCAATCCCTTGGTTCAGGGGAAATCAGGAACCATTCAAGCTACAGTGACGACTTTCTTCTCCACTGCCGTGCTAGCTTTCCCGATCTTGGATGTGTCTGTCGTCCCTATTATGACCCACTGGATAGATCGCTGCTAGCTTTCTC